GTTCTGACAAGACTCAGTATACTTCAGTAGAGGACACAGACGTTCTGACACTACTCTGTATATTTCAGTAGAGGACACAGACGTTCTGACACTACTCTGTATATTTCAGAAGAGGACACAGACGTTCTGTATGTTTCAGTAGAGGACACAGACGTTCTGACACTACTCTGTTTATTTCAGTAGAGGACACAGACGTTCTGACACTACTCTGTATATTTCAGTAGAGGACACATACGTTCTGACAATACTCTGTATATTTCAGTAGAGGACACATACGTTCTGACTCTACTGTGTATATTTCAGTAGAGGACACAGACGTTCTGACAAGACTCTGTATATTTCAGTAGAGGACACAGACGTCCTGACTCTACTGTGTATATTTCAGTAGAGGACACATACGTTCTGACAATACTCTGTATATTTCAGTAGAGGACACAGACGTTCTGACAATACTCTGTATATTTCAGTGGAGGACACAGACGTTCTGACTCTACTGTGTATATTTCAGTAGAGGACACAGACGTTCTGACAAGACTCTGTATATTTCAGTAGAGGACACAGACGTTCTGACACTTCTCTGTATATTTCAGTAGAGGACACAGACGTTCTGACACTACTCTGTATATTTCAGTAGAGGACACAGACGTTCTGACACTACTCTGTATATTTCAGTAGAGGACACAGACGTTCTGACACTACTCTGTATATTTCAGTAGAGGACACAGACGTTCTGACAAGACTCTGTATATTTCAGTAGAGGACACAGACGTTCTGACAATACTCTGTATATTTCAGTAGAGGACACAGACGTTCTGACAATACTCTGTATATTTCAGTAGAGGACACAGACGTTCTGACACTACTCTGTGTATTTCAGTAGAGGACACAGACGTCCTGACAAGTCTCTGTATATTTCAATAGAGGACACATACGTTCTGACAATACTCTGTATATATCAGTAGAGGACACAGACGTTCTGACACTACTCTGTATGTTTCAGTAGAGGACACAGACGTCCTGACAAGACTCTGTATATTTCAGTAGACGACACAGACGTTCTGACACTACTCTGTATATTTCAGTAGAGGACACATACGTACTGTCACTACTCTGTATATTACAGTAGAGGACACAGACGTACTGTCACTACTCTGTATATTTCAGTAGAGGACACAGACGTTCTGACACTACTCTGTATATTTCAGTAGAGGACACATACGTTCTGACAATACTCTGTATATTTCAGTAGAGGACACAGACGTTCTGACTCTACTCTGTATATTTCAGTAGAGGACACAGACGTTCTGATACTACTCTGTATATTTCAGTAGAGGACATAGACGTTCTCACACTACTCTGTATATTTCAGTAGAGGACACAGACGTTCTGACACTACTCTGTATATTTCAGTAGAGGACACATACGTACTGTCACTACTCTGTATATTACAGTAGAGGACACAGACGTACTGTCACTACTTTGTATATTTCAGTCGAGGACACAGACGTTCTGACACTACTCTGTATATTTCAGTAGAGGACACATACGTCCTGACAAGACTCTGTATATTTCAGTAGAGGACACAGACGTTCTGACAAGACTCTGTATGTTTCAGTAGAGGACATAGACGTTCTGACAAGACTCTGTATATTTATGTAGAGGACACAGACGTTCTGACAATACTCTGTATATTTCAGTAGAGGACACATACGCTTTGACACTACTCTGTATATTTCAGTAGAGGACACAGACGTTCCGACACTACTCTGTATATTTCAGTAGAGGACACAGACGTTCTGACACTACTCTGTATATTTCAGTAGAGGACACAGACGTTCTGACAAGACTTTGTACATTTCAGTAGAGGACACAGGCGTTCTGACAAGAGTCTGTTTGTTTCAGTAGAGGACATAGACGTTCTGACAAGACTTTGTATGTTTCAGTAAAGGACACGGGCGTTCTGACACTACTCTGAATGTTTCAGTAGAGGACACAGACGTGCTGACAAGACTCTGTATGTGTCAGTAGAGGACACAGACGTTCTGACACTACTCTGTATATTTCAGTAGAGGACACAGACGTTCTCACACTACTCTGTATATTTCAGTAGAGGACACAGACGTTCTGACACTACTCTGTATATTTCAGTAGAGGACACAGACGTTCTGACACTACTCTGTATATTTCAGTAGAGGACACAGACGTTCTGACACTACTCTGTGTATTTCAGTAGAGGACACAGACGTCCTGACAAGTCTCTGTATATTTCAATAGAGGACACATACGTTCTGACAATACTCTGTATATATCAGTAGAGGACACAGACGTTCTGACACTACTCTGTATGTTTCAGTAGAGGACACAGACGTCCTGACAAGACTCTGTATATTTCAGTAGACGACACAGACGTTCTGACACTACTCTGTATATTTCAGTAGAGGACACATACGTACTGTCACTACTCTGTATATTACAGTAGAGGACACAGACGTACTGTCACTACTCTGTATATTTCAGTAGAGGACACAGACGTTCTGACACTACTCTGTATATTTCAGTAGAGGACACATACGTTCTGACAATACTCTGTATATTTCAGTAGAGGACACAGACGTTCTGACTCTACTCTGTATATTTCAGTAGAGGACACAGACGTTCTGATACTACTCTGTATATTTCAGTAGAGGACATAGACGTTCTCACACTACTCTGTATATTTCAGTAGAGGACACAGACGTTCTGACACTACTCTGTATATTTCAGTAGAGGACACATACGTACTGTCACTACTCTGTATATTACAGTAGAGGACACAGACGTACTGTCACTACTTTGTATATTTCAGTCGAGGACACAGACGTTCTGACACTACTCTGTATATTTCAGTAGAGGACACATACGTCCTGACAAGACTCTGTATATTTCAGTAGAGGACACAGACGTTCTGACAAGACTCTGTATGTTTCAGTAGAGGACATAGACGTTCTGACAAGACTCTGTATATTTATGTAGAGGACACAGACGTTCTGACAATACTCTGTATATTTCAGTAGAGGACACATACGCTTTGACACTACTCTGTATATTTCAGTAGAGGACACAGACGTTCCGACACTACTCTGTATATTTCAGTAGAGGACACAGACGTTCTGACACTACTCTGTATATTTCAGTAGAGGACACAGACGTTCTGACAAGACTTTGTACATTTCAGTAGAGGACACAGGCGTTCTGACAAGAGTCTGTTTGTTTCAGTAGAGGACATAGACGTTCTGACAAGACTTTGTATGTTTCAGTAAAGGACACGGGCGTTCTGACACTACTCTGAATGTTTCAGTAGAGGACACAGACGTGCTGACAAGACTCTGTATGTGTCAGTAGAGGACACAGACGTTCTGACACTACTCTGTATATTTCAGTAGAGGACACAGACGTTCTCACACTACTCTGTATATTTCAGTAGAGGACACAGACGTTCTGACACTACTCTGTATATTTCAGTAGAGGACACAGACGTTCTGACACTACTCTGTATATTTCAGTAGAGGACACAGACGTTCTGACACTACTCTGTATATTTCAGTAGAGGACACAGACGTTCTGACAAGACTCTGTATATTTCAGTAGAGGACACAGACGTTCTGACACTTCTCTGTATATTTCAGTAGAGGACACAGACGTTCTGACACTACTCTGTATATTTCAGTAGAGGACAGAGACGTTCTGACACTACTCTGTATATTTCATTAGAGGACACAGACGTTCTGCCACTACTCTGTATATTTCAGTAGAGGACACAGACGTTCTGACAAGACTCTGTATATTTCAGTAGAGGACACAGACGTCCTGACAAGACTCTGTATATTTCAGTAGAGGACACAGACGTTCTGACAAGACTCTGTATATTTCAGTAGAGGACACAGACGTTCTGACACTACTCTGTATATTTCAGTAGAGGACACAGACGTCCTGACAAGACTCTGTATATTTCAATAGAGGACACATACGTTCTGACAATACTCTGTATATTTCAGTAGAGGACACAGACGTTCTGACACTACTCTGTATATTTCAGTAGAGGCCAGAGACGTTCTGACTCTACTGTGTATATTTCAGTAGAGGACACAGACGTTCTGACACTACTCTGTATATTTCAGTAGAGGACACAGACGTTCTGACAAGACTCTGTATACTTCAGTAGAGGACACAGACGTTCTGACACTACTCTGTATATTTCAGTAGAGGACACAGACGTTCTGACAAGACTCTGTATATTTCAGTAGAGGACACAGACGTTCTGACACTACTCTGTATATTTCAGTAGAGGACACAGACGTGCTGACAAGACTCTGTATATTTCAGTAGAGGACACAGACGTTCTGACACTACTCTGTATATTTCAGTAGAGGACAGAGACGTTCTGACTCTACTGTGTATATTTCAGTAGAGGACACAGACGTTCTGACACTACTCTGTATATTTCAGTAGAGGACACAGACGTTCTGACACTACTCTGTATATTTCAGTAGAGGACACAGACGTTCTGTATATTTCAGTAGAGGACACAGACGTTCTGACACTACTCTGTATATTTCAGTAGAGGACACAGACGTTCTGACACTACTCTGTATATTTCAGTAGAGGACACAGACGTCCTGACAAGACTCTGTATATTTCAGTAGAGGACATAGACGTTCTGACAAGACTCTGTATATTTCAGTAGAGGACACACACGTTCTGACACTACTCTGTATATTTCAGTAGAGGACACAGACGTCCTGACAAGACTCTGTATATTTCAGTAGAGGACATAGACGTTCTGACAAGACTGTATATTTCAGTAGAGGACACAGACGTTCTGCCACTACCCTGTATATTTCAGTAGAGGACACAGACGTCCTGACAAGACTCTGTATATTTCAGTAGAGGACATAGACTTTCTGACAAGACTCTGTATTTTTCAGGACATAGACGTTCTGACACTACTCTGTATATTTCAGTGGCGGCCGGAACAGACGTGCTGACCATCGCCGGCGTCCTCTCCCTCATCGTGTTGGTGGGCGGCATCCTCTTCATCACCTACCGCCTGTGCAATGAGAGGAGGATTGCCAAGAAACAGCTGAAGGAGGACCGAGAGCCCATCACTCATTAACTAGAACATTTAGATGATTAATTGCTGCATTAGACACTCAAGACTAGATATTAATAATATTTCAATACAATCAGCACCTTGAAATGTGCCCAACAGCAAACATGTAGCATTAGATTTGAGAAATGAATGTACAAGATGTAAGTTCCTAGCCCCAAGCCAGAGTCTTAGCCATAATATGACCCCAACCCACTCCAACCCATCCCACGCCTGTATACAAGCCTCCCCTTGTGAAGCTTATTTTGAATACCATTCAGTCACGCGTGGCCTGTCCAGCTACACCCTTGTACTGTACTGTAATACAAGAAGTGGTGCTCTCAGTACTACAATGCTGCCAAGTTATACATTTAATGGACTGGTAAGGTTACGGAGTTAAACAGGATTCGACAAATAGACATGCCTCTGGGGGATTTGATGACAAGTAAAAATCATCCTCGATAATCCAGGGCATTAGGTCTCCATTCAAATACAGTAAACTACTTTTTTAGTCCCGACTATTTGCTGTAGTTATGCTATATATATGCTTATAACGAACTACGGTTATAACGAACTAAAATTAGTAGTCCCTATGAGTTCGTTATAACCGTAGTTTACTGTATGATAAAAGCCCTGGACTTCAGCGCTACGATAGCTTCGTTTTGAGCCCATTTCTGGTGTCCCCCGCCGTGATATTGCTGGAATAGTGCTAAAAGCGGCGTAAAACCATACTCACTCACTCACTCGTTTTGAGCCTGATTCGAATGACATGACGCTGAATTGTCCATCCACGAAAATAACATTCGCGTGCGAAAAGTCTGAAGAGCTGAAATTGTCAATATATTAAGGATAAAAAGATTGTTGCACTGTTTCAAAATGCTTTTTGTTAGTCAAGAGAATGTCAGACACTTATACTGTCGAAGCCTGTTTCCAAGAGAAAAAAGCTTTTGGCTTTTCATGAAGATACTCACTAGAGGTAAAAGGTTGATATTTTGACATTAGGTGTTGCGTGTTTTATACAAGTCGTGACGTGCGTGGGTGAGGGGTACTCTAAACAATCTACTGTAAAGACACACTTTATATACATGTCTTGATTTTGTTACATGTATTCATAAATTGGTCTTCAGTTGTGGTCTTTATTATATGAATATGAGGTAAAAATGTTGACACACACTAATATACCTGACATGTTCACAACACATCCGATTAAAAAAATCAAATGTTAATTTTTTAATTTTTTTTTAAAGGTCAGCCTGACAATGTCTTATACTATCTTTAATGTCAATGTATTTTTAGCATTTATGTCAAATGATCCTCTAGACACTGCAGGTGTCCTGTGCATTGGCTGTCTCAGTTGTCTCCCCTGCCAACAATCAACACATTTCATTTTTACGTGTTCTGTTTGATGCATGTTGTACCTGTCTGGGTTTTTCTCAATGGACTAATCCAACTTTTTACGTGACCCCATTGCTTCCCTGAAATTCTCCACCTACCAGGTATAGGCCTCCGTCGTGGTACAAGGAATACTCATATTCATATATTAACACCCTATATAAAAGTTTAATCCCCCACACATAAGTCTAATTCATTCCTAAATCTAGCATTTAGTATTATGACATCACTAGGAACTAATAATTCTGTGCGATACTGTTTATCTTACGAAAGGATCGGCGACAATAACCTGCCTTCGTTTCCACTCGGGTCATTCCGGGACAAACCTTGCATTCGTGACCAACTCGTTTTATTCCGGGACATGCCTAATAGCGACTCGAGTCCATTCGTCACCACTCGCCCCTTTCCGTAACCTGCAAGAAGATTGTCCCGGAATAACACGAATGGCATCCTTCACTATTCGTGTCTTTCCGCAACCTAAATCGGATTTTCCCGGAATGACACTATGTCACGAATCGGTCACTGTGTTGGTTTTAACGAAAATTCTCAATGGATATTCTCCCTGGAATATAGACCTACATGCGAGGGAGACCAGATTTTTCGTCCTTTTGTTTCTGTTAAACATCAAGTTTTTTTAAATGAATTTATATTTTTTACATAGTGTGTAGTCATAATGTGTAACCAGAAACAGAGATTAGTTATATTACTGTTGACTTTTCTTCATATATCCATATGTAACAATGTGATACTGTCTTCCTTACAACTACTTGCGAGGAGTCTTCACAACTGTATTTACCAGTTTTATTTGTCTTCTTTATCGGATGTATTTTTTACCAGTAGCTTAGTGTCACAGTTTTACAGAAATAAAGATTGTATTTTTACAGTGGATGTGGACTGATGTTTTGGAACAAGGCATTGCATGACACCAATAACACATTTTGCCCAATTGGCCATCAAAAAAATATTCTGGTAGCCTCAAAACCACCATATCTTCCCATGGCAAGGGAGTTAACTGACTTTAAATGTCCACTTTTCCCCTTTGCAGAATCAGGCTGGAATTTCTTGGCTTGACTGTTGCACCACATGTGGTTATTACGAGTTATGTCCCTTCTATGTTCACACAACTGACCAATCAGATTCCTCCTCTCATGTCTCTTGCACTTGCTTCAAATAAATGGCAGCGCCCAGTCAAGACGATATCATCAATAATAAAGATCTTTAGTCAAAATGGGTTTTACTTCGTGAAGTGCATGAAATCACTGAGCACCTTGATTAAACACAGTGATGATTTTGAAAATATCTGTCGACGCCCAGTTTACAGTACACGTGCTCTGCAAATCCTGCAATCAAACAAATTCAGCAAAGCAGTTGCCCTGTTGTTTAATAACCGGATGTCGATTGCGTATGGGTTTTTGATCAGACTATGCACAGACCCGGTACTCTTGCCAAAATATAGCTCCATAATTCCAGCCTAGTTCAGCAAAGGATGGAAACTGTCATGCTGTTAAATTCCTTGCCTGGGGAAGATGCAGAACTTCTGAAGTGAGGTGAGGTGAAATGGGGTTTAACGTCGCGTCCAAGATTATTGCACTTATATATCGACGTGCATGCACGTGTATGTGTGTGTGTGTGTGGCAGCTTGTACTAGTCCGGACTGATGCCGAATTATAGTGGTAGCCCACTGAGATACCATGCCGCAGTTTAACATGAATACTCCACTCAGACACAGTAAACTGACTCCGAGCCGACCAGTCCTTGCTTTAACCCCTTAATGCCGAGCGCCAGACAGGGTAACAACAAGTACCATCTTTAAACGTCTATTGGTATGACGCAGCTGGGGTTCGAACCCCGGACCTTCCGCTCTCCGGGCGGACGCTCTACCATCAGACCACGGAGGCGGTCGCAGAACTTCTGAAGGTGGACCACCCTATGCTATATAATTTTACCCTCGAGGGAAGTACAGGGGAATGCAGCCCTTGAAAAGTTTTAAATCTAAAATGCATTGGATGCAATCAGGAGCAAGATTATAAGACCTTTTTGGATTATATTTTTCTTGTTCCATTATAAGCCAGATAAATAGGTGTTGAATGGACAAGATGAACAAAATCTGAACAATGTAAAAACGTATCGCTACAAGTTCAAACTGATCCTTCAAAATAATCTTCATAGACTTTGGTTTGTTGTTTAACGCTGCACTTGGCAATATTCAAGCTATATGACGGCGGTCTGTAAATAAGCGAGTCTGGACCAGACAATCCAGTGATTGACATCATGAGCATCGATCCATGCAATTGGGATACAATGACACGCATCAACCAAGTCAGCAAACCTGACCACCCGATCCCGTTAGTCCTCTTACCACAAGCATATAGACCATCGGTCTAGCTTAAGTTCTCACACCTTAGACCTATCCAAATTCTGATAGCCATGGTCCATAGGTGAACCATTCATTTCGCACTCTGACAAGGTCCTGCACACACATCAGTGAAGAGGTGGATTTGACGACAATGGATTGCAGCCTTCAAAATTCACAGGAGTACACAAGCCCAAGACAACTAAATTGTGTTTAGGGCAAATAAAAATCTCAAGATTTTAGTCCTCATTTGCTAGCAGCTTCAATTTTGCTTCAAATTGGAACTGAATAAAACTGACAGAAAATTTAAACATTGTAAAAAATGTTGTCTCTTTCAAGCAGCAGCAGCATCAGACCTGAGGACTAGTGAAATACTTCCTCTGGACGACTAAATTTCAAAAGACGAATTTCGAAGGCTGGATAGTTGTTCAGTCAAATCATAGGTTCGTATTATCTGGGAGGAAAACCCAAAGTGACACTCGAAGAGGTTTACCATCTTGATGCCGAAAAAGCCCAATTGTTATTGGGATAAATCTATGAGCCGGAATTATCTGATCCTCACATGGCTGAAGGGTATTGAGTGAGTGAGTGAGTTGGGTTTAACGCCGCTTTTAACAATATTCCTGTTCTATCACGGTGTGTCAGCTTAATGTGGAAGGAAAGCACAAAGTGATGCAGGTCTAAGACGTTTACCACTTCGGTGAAACCCACGAGCAGGGGTATGGTGCTGACAAACCCAGAAACAATCGAGGCAAACCGGGATTCGAACCCACAATCATAGGTTTCTGGCATGCCCAAGGGATGCAACTCTGCACAGGGAATTATGGCGCCTTAGACGACTTGGCCACCCGTGCCCCCTAAAGGGTATTGACTCTCCACAGTGAATTGCATGAAGTCAATCTTCCTTCAAGTCAGGAAACCAACTCTGTGGTGTAGTGGATAGAGCAACTGCCTGGAGGGCAGAAGTGTGATGGTTTAATGCATTCGCCATGTCATTCCAGAAGACATCACAATATGCTACTTGTTGTTTCCCTGGCTGGCACTCAGTATTTTGGAGATAAATAGAGAATCTCACCCGAGTGTAGTTTGATATCAAATATATCAACACGAGTTGAAAAAAGTGAAAAAAAACTGAGGCTTGCCAAGCGCCAGACAGGGTAACATGTACAATCTATTAAGGGCTTTTGGTATGCTGCGGCCGGGGATCAAACCCCGGACCTTCCGCTCTCCAGGTGGATGCTCTACCACTAGACCATGGAGGCGGTAGTGTTTGAAATATTTGATATCAAAAGACACAAGGGTGAGATTTTATTTATCATCCAACATCATTCTTCCAATCTGTTCAGTTTGTTGACAGTAACAAGCAGTGTCTTAAGTGTAAAAAGTACTGCTAACAGATCCAGAAGCATAGCCATTAGTGATGTCATTTGATTGTGACATCATGGTAACCAATGACGTCGCAATGGTCTGCAAAGCGTTGTGATGCAACATCATTGCAGCCATATCTACAATTTAGATATCACTTGATCTCACCCAAGATATCTCCTGTGGGAGCCAGTTTTGGATGTGATTTTTGTTTGGTTTGTTGTTTTACGCCGCACTCAGCAATATTTAAGCTATATGACGGCGGTCTGTAAATAATCAAGTCTGGACCAGACAATCCAGTGTTTAATGTCATGAGCATCGATCCACACCACTGGGATCGATGACATGCATCAACCAAGTCAGCGAGCCTGACCACCCGATCCCGTTAGTCGCCTTTTACGACAAGCATAGTCACCTCTTACGGCAAGCATGGGTTGCTGAACACCTATTCTACCCCGGAATCTTCACGGGTCTTTTGGATGTGAAAGAAAGACTTGTAGGCTTGGAGTCAGTATACTGTGTCTGAGTTGGGTATCCATGTTAAACTTAAGCTATGGTGCACAAAAGAACAAAAGAGTCAGTGTCCTAAATATTTAATTCATCACACACAAAACTCTCATCAACACAATTATAATTACATACTTTACAGAGTAATTACAGACAGAGTAATTCCATGGCAACATACACACAGGGCGCAATCACTGGCAGAGTCCCATCATGCACCTGATATCAAGGGAGACAACTCTTCTTGGTTACATACATACCTGAAATAGGAACAAGCAGTGGATGAATGAGAATCAAATATGATTTGTTGTTGTTGTTGGTTTGTTGTTTAACGCCTCTCTCAGCAGTACTCCAGCTATATGACGGCGATCTGTACATAATCGAGTCTGGACCAGACAATCCAGTGATGGATATCATGAGGGTCGACCCATGCAATTGGGATCGATGACATGCATAAACCAAGTCAGCGACCCTGACCACCCAATCCTGTTAGTCGCCTTTTACGACAAGCAAAGTCACCTTTTACGGCAAATATGGGTTGCTGAAGACCTATTCTACCCCGGAATCTTCACGGGTCGAGAATAAAATATGAGAATGGGGTTGATGAGTTTTCGACCAGGTGAGTGAGTGAGTAAGAAATTGTTATTAATGCTGTCACAGTATTCTGACCCTGAATCCCCACAGGGAGACAAGCATGGGATACTTGGGACATGAATTTCAGAAAAATGCTTTAGTGAAGGTTGGTTGGTTGGTTTGTTGTTTAACGCCGCACTCAGCAATATTCCAGCAATGTGATGGCGGTCATATAAATAATCGAGTCTGGACCAGATAATCCAGTGATTAATATCATGAGCATCTATCCACGCAATTGGGATCGATGACATCTTTAGTGAAGGACTCAGTAAAGCTTTGAAAAAGTTTTATGGCAGACATGTGGGGAACATTTCCAAATTTGACGTATAAGTAACAAAAATGATGTCGATGCAACTATCTATTTTCACTTGTATCATATGTTCACATGTATTTTTAGGTGAACAATTGACTTGCCTTTGCATGAGTTTCTGATAGCTGCCACCTGTGGGGCAGAATACGCTCACCTTTTCGCAAACACCAGGTAGCATTACTATTTCATAGTGATTCATAAACATATGCTCATGATATGTCAGAGTCATACCATGGACGCTGCTTTTAGCAGAGATTTCTATTGAATATGGAAAACCTTTTGTTGCTCTTATTAACACAAACTGACCCAAACAACATATATCTGTCAACAAACGGAGGATTAACAAAACAAAAGCTTCACTGCAGTCGTAGTGAATGAGTGAGTATGGTTTTACGCCGCTCTTAGCAATATTCCAGCAATATCACGGCGGGGGATACCAGAAATGGGCTTCACACATTGTACCCATGTCGGGAATCGAACCCGGGTCTTTGGCCTGACGAGCGAACGATTTAACCACTAGAACATCAAATAGCAGCCAAATTAACCCCAAATGGGTCTCTTTCTGTTAACACAATAACTAGGGCTGATGAACATACAATTCTATTGTGGGGAGGATCCTTCTGTCATCATGAGGGCACGAGCCCCGCCTCCCTCAACTTGGCAACCAGGTCCTCTGTGGTCTCCAGCTTCTGGCCCGCCTCCCGGACAGGTGGGTCCTCCACGGACAGGATCTGGTGCGTGGGGGTCAGGTCCACCCCGTAGTCACTTGCCTTCTTCTTGGCCAGCGGCTTCTTCTTGGCTTTCTGTGGACAACAGGCCGTCAGTGTCAGCAGTTGTATGGTGGGTTAGGAATTGCCATGCCATCTAAAGGGGTGGGGTGGTGGAGGTGGGGGGCGGGGATGGGCTGCTCTGAATGATGTGGGAGAGTGGCATGCCATGATCTTAGGGAGTGTGGCCTACCATGATGTTAGGGAGTGTGATATAACGAGGTTCATCTGACCTACCATGTTGTTAGGGAGTGTGGCATACTGAGGTTCATCTGACCTACCATGATGTTAGGGAGTGTGGCATACTGAGGTTCATCTGACCTATCATGATGTTAGGGCGTGTGGCAAACCATGATGTTAGGCAGTGTGGTCGATCGAGGTTCACCTGACCTATCATGATGTTAGGGCGTGTGGCAAACCATGATGTTAGGAAGTGTGGTCTATCGAGGTTCACCTGACCTACCAGGATGTTAGGGCGTGTGGCAAACCATGATGTTAGGCAGTGTGGTCTATCGAGGTTCACCTGACCTACCAGGATGTTAGGGCGTGTGGCAAACCATGATGTTAGGCAGTGTGGTCTATCGAGGTTCACCTGACCTATCATGATGTTAGGGCGTGTGGCAAACCATGATGTTAGGGAGTGTGGTCTATCGAGGTTCACCTGACCTATCATGATGTTAGGGCATGTGGCAAACCATGATGTTAGGCAGTGTGGTCTATCGAGGTTCACCTGACCTATCATGATGTTAGGGCATGTGGCAAACCATGATGTTAGGGAGTGTGGTCTATCGAGGTTCACCTGACCTATCATGATGTTAGGGCGTGTGGCAAACCATGATGTTAGGGAGTGTGGTCTACCATGATCTTGGGGAATGTGATATAACGAGGTTCATCTGAGTGTGGCATATCGAGGTTCATCTGACCTACCATGATGTTAGGGAGTGTGGCATATCGAGGTTCATCTGACCTACCATGATGTTAGGGAGTGTGGCATACTGAGATTCATCTGACCTTCCATGATGTTAGGGAGTGTGGGATACTGAGGTTCATCTGACCTATCATGATGTTAGGTAGTGTGGCATACTGAGATTCATCTGACCTTCCATGATGTTAGGTAGTGGTGCATACTGAGATTCATCTGACCTTCCATGATGTTAGGGAATGTGGCTTACCATGATGTTAGGGAGTGTGGCATATCGAGGTTCATTAAGACGCAGATCTGCAGTGATGACGGCCGGGAGTTTGACTTTGATTGTTTCCAGGCCTCCGTCTACTTCCCGCGTCACCGTCAAGTCTCCGTTATTCTTGATGACCTCTGACGCAAATGTTGCCTGTAGGAATGAATAAGTCATGTCATACCTCAGCAGTTTCATGTGAGAGGAAAACCAAAAAACGTGATAAAGTGATGCAGGTCTTAGACTTTTACCAAGGGTCAAACCCACAATGAATGAATCCTGGTACAACTAAGGGGTGCAACTCTGCATAGTGAATGCTGACGCACACCAAAGGAGAAAAAAAGCAGTGAAATATTCTCAATATCATCCACAGTACACGGGGATGAGAATGGACATTTTCCTTTTCAGCTGAAATTTCTTTTCCATGGAGAGTGATTCATAATTTGGGGATGTTTACTGTGGCTGTGTTTTATTTGCTGAGCCAGGTGAATGAATGGATATGGTTTCATGCAGCTTTTAGCAATATTCCAGCAATATCACGGCGGGGGACACCAGAAATGGGCTTCACACATTGTACCCATATTGGGAATCAAACTCGGGTCTTCGGTGTGACGAGCGAACGCTTTAACCATGAGGCTACCTGACCGTCCCCTGGGCCAGGTTAACCAGTGTTCGATAGCATGATGAACGACCCACACCATGAAGATACAATGACTCCCAGCCAGCTCTGTCACACAGTCTCACTACCCAGGATACAGATCAGCTGCCCCTGCTGGACGGGCCACTGGGGACCTACTTGAGCAGGAAGTCAGACAGGGTCAGAAAATGTTGTTTGTTTGTTGGTGGGCTATCTCATCTGTGGCCAGTCAATCATAGCTAGTGGACTAATGACAAGCTGTTTCTCTGTTCACATGTTAGTGTCAGTGGGTGGGCTATCTCACCTGTGGCCAGTCAATCACAGCTAGCGGACTAGTGCCAAGCTGCTTCTCTGTTCACATGTTGGTGTCAGTGGGTGGGCTATCTCACCTGTGGCCAGTCAATCACAGCTAGCGGACTAATGACAAGCTGCTTCTCTGTTCACATGTTGGTGTCAGTGGGTGGGCTATCTCACCTGTGGCCAGTCCAACATTGCTAGCGGACTAGTGCCAAGCTGCTTCTCTGTTCACATGTTAGTGTCAGTGGGTGGGCTATCTCACCTGTGGCCAGTCAATCATAGCTAGTGGACTAATGACAAGCTGTTTCTCTGTTCACATGTTAGTGTCAGTGGGTGGGCTATCTCACCTGTGGCGAGTCCAGCATTGCTAGTGGACTAGTGCCAAGCTGCTTCCTGTTCACCTATTAGTGTCAGTGGGTGGGCTATCTCACCTGTGGCCAGTCAATCATAGCTAGTGGACTAATGACAAGCTGTTTCTCTGTTCACATGTTAGTGTCAGTGGGTGGGCTATCTCACCTGTGGCCAGTCAATCACAGCTAGCGGACTAGTGCCAAGCTGCTTCTCTGTTCACATGTTGGTGTCAGTGGGTGGGCTATCTCACCTGTGGCCAGTCAATCACAGCTAGCGGACTAGTGCCAAACTGCTTCTTGTTCACCTATTAGTGTCAGTGGGTGGGCTATCTCACCTGTGGCCAGTCCAACACAGCTAGCGGACTAGTGCCAAGCTGCTTCTTGTTCACCTATTAGTATCGGTGGGTGGGCTATCTCACCTGTGGCCAGTCCAACATAGCTAGTGGACTAGTGCCAAGCTGTTTCTCTGTTCACATGTTAGTGTCAGTGGTTGGGCTATCTCACCTGTGGCCAGTCCAGCAGGGCAGCAGTCATCTGTCCCGTCTGGTTGCAGTCGCCATCAATTGCCTACAACAAACACAGCAGGGAGTGGTGAAGTCTTGCATCACACTTCATCGTTACCATGGTGACATGCAATGTAGGATTGGTCAGTCACATAGTGTTTTTTTTGTGGGCGTTATTGAACAAGCTGAAAACACTTAAAACACACGTCAGGAATTTATCAGACACGACATCGTGTGTCCTATACTCATAAAACCGGACAATTTTTAATCAGTGAGTATGGTTTTTACGCTGCTATTAGCAATAATCCAGCAATATCACCGCAGGGAACACTAGAAAGGGGCTTTACACATTGTACCCATGCTAAGGAAGTGATTCACTTGTGACGAAGGATATCTAGACCTGTTACCATGGGAACAAAATCAACACCTCAGTTACCATGGTAACAAAATCAACAGCTCGGTTACCATGGTAACAAAACACTTCAGTTACCATGGTCAAACACCTGAACTCAGTTACCAGGGTGACACACCTTGTCATCTCTGTTACCATGGTAGTACGATTCATCACCTCAGTTACCATAGTAACACAACACATCGCCAAGCACTGGTGGATCAAAGATAACACATCTTTCAGTGATCCAGCATCACTGGCAAAATCACAAACAACAGATTCCCCTCTTTTAATCAATCTAAAGAAGCGTTACCAAGGTAACCATTACCTGTTTCCCAACAATGATGACATCAGCTTTCTCCTCCTGGGATATCTTGGCCAGTATTTTGGCCACATGAAGCGGCTGAACCGTCTCGGCCTGTTTGGCGTCCAGCTCCACGAGGATAGCCTTGTCCGCTCCCATCGCCATGGCAGTTCGCAGCGTTTCCTAGGTAACACAAATGGGAAACATGCCACTCATACTCAACAAATCAGTGTGCTATGATGGTCGACCATATCATGCCACAATACAGTGAACATGTACCATACACGTGTTGCAAGATCTGATTTGGATGTTAACTGACTTAGAAAGTCCAGTTTCCACCCTTGCCGAACTAGGCTGGAATTACTGGGCTTGATCGTAGCACCACCAGTGGCTATTACCAGTTATGTCCCTTCTAAGCCTCTCCTATGGACCAATCAGATTCAACCTCTCGTATCATTTGCGTTTGCTTCACACAAAATGGTGGCACCCAGTCAGGACGATCTGATCGATAATCTAGATCTATATTGTGATTAACGGGTCTTACATTGCGAAATGCATCAAATCACGTGAGCACCGTGATTAAAAACATGAAAAAATTTGGAATAATATCTGTTGACAATGAGTTGGCGGTGCACATGCTTTGCAAATACTGCAGTCGATCGAAATCTGCACGACAGTTTACGTACTGGAATTCGATTTCGGGGACGATTTGGATTGGACTATGCATAGACTCGTTAGTCCAGCCAAAATGTAACTCCATAATACCAGCCTAGTTCGGCAAGGGTGGAAACTGGACTTTTATAGTCAGTTAACTCTCTTGCCTCAGGAAGATGACAAAACAATGAGAGGCATGAGCATAGATCCCCGCCTATGGGTTACAACACACAATCAGCCAGGTGACCCCACCAGAACACATAATACTCCTTACCTGACACTGTGGAGGACCGCACGACACAGCGATCACCTCGCTGGCGATCTTCTTCTCCTTCATCCGGATGGCCTCCTCGATGGCGATCTCGTCGAAGGGGTTCATGCTGTGCTTCACCCCCTCTGTGACCACGCCCATCTTGTCAGGCTTCACACGGATCTGAAAGTATACACACCAGGTCAGCCGGATAATGGAGCAAGGGAGATAACTCTCACTCGAGTGACTTGTAGTTTCATGCAGGCCTCTAGTAACAGTATTATACTTTGTGTGTTGTTGAACGCCACACTCAGCAATAGTGAGTGAGTGAGTTTGGTTTTACGCCGCTTTCAGCAATATTCCAGCAATATCACGGCGGAGGACACCAGAAATGGGCTTCACACTTTGTACCCATGTCGGGAATCGAACCCGGGTCTTCAGAGTGAAGAACGAATGCTTTAACCACTAGGCTACCCGACCGCCCCATCACTCAGCAATACTAAAAGTTTATGACGGCTGCCTGTAAATAATCAAGTATGGACCAGACAATCCAGTGATTGATATTATGAGTTAAGGTCCACACTGTCGAGTACGAAGACACGCTATCAACTAAATCACCAAGCCTGATCAGGATACCCATTTGGTCGCCTCTTACGACCAGCATAGTTCAGTCCCTGCTGTATTCAACTGTCAGTTTTTGTACCGTCAAATTCTGCAATCAAATTCCGATATAATTCTGCACACGATTGTACACACAATTCTGTAAATTTAAAGCTTCGTTTTCATGAATTTGCTCGTTTTGCACTTGTTTGCACAAGTGAATGGCTTACTGAGTGAGTGTGAGTGAGTTGGGTTTAACGCCGCTTTTAACAGTATTCTAGTCATATCACGGCGTGTCAGCTTAATGTGGGAGGAAAGCCCGAAGTGATGCAGGTCTAAGATGTTTACCACTTCGGTGAAACCCACGAGCACGGGTATGGTGCTGACAAACCTAGAAACATAATTGGGGTGAACGGGGATTCGAACCCACAATCATAGGTTTCTGGCGTGCCCAAGGGACGCAACTCTGCACAGCGAATCACGGCACCTTAGACAACTGGGCCACCTGGGCCACCTGTGCCCCCGAATGGCTTACTGAAGTGAATCTAATGATCACTAACTAGTGTAAACATAGAGACATGCACTCTCAGTAAGCAATAATAGGAAAGTCAAATTTCTGCAATGTATTTGACAAATTCTGTGGCAGACAAATGCAAAATTCTGCATGAGTTCAGCATCAAATCCTATTTTCTACAAGACAGCAGAATACAGCAGGGATTGATAGTTTGCTGGGAGCAATTATATTTGTGTTATGTCATAGTGTTCATTGTGCAAAGAAAGGCAAAAGTAATGGTGGTCAGAATTTACTAGCTTAGTCAAACTCTCTGGAGCAGGGGCATTTGGGCCAATTAGTTATTATAATGAAATATTATGGGGCGGGGCAACAGGGGAGACAGGGTGTTTCATTAGAGACAGAAAATTTGTGGGTCTCAGCTTGAAGAAAAAAGAAAGTCTCTGAAATTTGACTGGCAACCAAATTCTCTAAAATGTTTTGTGAGTAAACATGGTAAACCTTCAGGCCAAATTGTTTTTATCCTGTATCTTCTATTCTTTCTTTCAAATAATTCTCAGACCCCATAAACATGTTAAATAACATGGTCTCTTAATTTTCAAAAAGAGCATCTAGACCTACAGACTGGCCATGGTGCTAGTCCTTACTCATTGTACACGCAGGGATCTTCTGTGTAGCCAAAAGGAAAAAACCCTGAAGTGTGCACAGGTCTAACAATTATCATGTTCATCAATGGTTGTGGAAAAAAGGGTAAGGTAATTAGATCAAACCCAAACTCAGGTCCAGCATGCATGTTCAGCGGTAAGTTATTCACAAACATGTATGTCACACCTCGTAGCCATTGAATGACGAGGTGTATATCTGGCGATTAGATTCACAACTGAAAATTGTCACGAAAATTTAAAGCAGGCCATTGAGACCTATACAAATTTGAAAATACTGGCCCAACACAAAATTTACCTGCCACGCACCTACAGGCAGGTGCTTATTTTGAATACTGCATGTGAGCAGAACTCCACTTCTAACTACATAACTACACATATGCCAGCTTTAATTACATTTTGAACAGAAATGGCTCAGTAACAGCCATAAAAAGTGCCAGCTTTCAGTTTGGTTGTGCAAAGGTCAAATTAAGGTCAAAATGAATAATTTTGGTTGAGCCCCAACACTAACCATTCATGTATCAAAGTATATTTCCATTTTGTTAAAAAATGTCTGATTGAATAGCGACAATATTGATATCAGATTTGAGTCTCTTGATCAAATCATTGGTGGTTTCTGAGGAGAATGGACAACGAATAACAGACAAACAGGCCACACTTTAAGCTAACTTGAATACCCTGCACCCTACAATAAATAAACGTGTAGGTGAGATAAATTCGTTGTAGTAGATCATGAGGGGTAGATGCTTGTCATCAATCCCAAATGCATGGATCAATGCTCATGATGTTAATCACTGGATTGTCTGGTCCAGACTCGATTATTTACAGACTGCCATCATATAGCTGGAATATTGCTGAGAGCGGTGTTAAACAACAAACAAACTGGCAATGAGCAACTGATCTTCCATTACTCCCACGACATTACTTGGAATCCAAAAATTGTGCACTGTGAAGTGCAGTGCTCACCTATTTGTTCCAATTAATGGGGAGGATATAGTCCCTCAAAATGAACCCCAGGTACAAACAATATATTGAGTTGTGCCCAGATTTTTTTTACCATATCGTTTTGGACAAAGACAATATCTAAGTGAATCCCGATTTTGGAAATTTTGAAACAGTTTATGTCATAAATGTATCCACGATCACTTTACCATGTTAACGCCATGACAACATTAACAAAAAACAGTTAAAACACCTCCACATTTTCCCCCTCGGCATGCCACTGCCGCTGCCAATCAGAATCCACCATGAGGTCATTCCAGGAACATCATTGACCTTGTACAAAGAGTTATCTCCCCTAATCTTGTAAAGCTGGTTGCTGTAAACATCCTGCCTTGCTAAGTTTAGGCGAACAAAATTCCTTTAACATGTGTTTAAAGCCTTTAATAATGTTAAAAGTTAATAATAAATATATAAAAAGCACTCCCAGTATACCAAAAGCATGTATTTATCATTTGGCTACTAGTGAAGAACACATTTCTAAGTATGACCCTTATGATCTCCTGATAGATTCTGGCCTCAGAACGGGAAAAATGTAACTTCCGTTACCTAATTAGTCGCTATGAACATGATGTATATGCAGATGATCTAGTTCAGGTTGATAGAGAAGTTTACTTGGGAAAATGTGGGTTATATCGTTGGTTGATAGATGTGGGTAAGGCAATATTAAAAAAGATGCCAGAAGTAAGTATCAACGCTTTAATAACTCCTTACTTACAGCAGACGGAACATTCCGAGGAAATTGAAATTGTTTACGAAGCAAGTACTTCCTTGTAACTGATTTGCATTAACAGTCAGCGTGAATGACCGGAAATCACAAATGCCGCAATACCATGAATGCCACGATACCACGGGGTCCGAGCTAGTATACATATAAATCGTCAGCATAACACAGGGTACATTTCAATGGTAAAACAATCGATAGTGATCATTGATGGCTTATTATATAAAAGCGATGAAATAAACAAAACTCGAAATATTTTGTTTGACCAATGAAAAACTCAGTACACTGTGATCTGTCATCATTTTATGTAACCAAGCAGGCTGTGGTTCAGTAATTTTGGTTTGCCTTCAAAATCAATTAGATCTTCTGAATTGACCCAATTTGATGTCTCCCGGAGGAGGTAAAGTATAGCACTAGAGCACTGCATTAGCATTGTAAGCGTTTAATTGAAACAAATAATAATGAAAACGCCAATCGAAACGGTCATAGTAATTCCTCGCGTGTGAACACAGGACAAAATCATGTCAGTGAGTGGAAAGAAAGTTTTGGGTAGAATATTCACACATTTTTATTTCACATTGGTGAACACCCATTCTGAGAGTTCACCAAAGTGATTTGGCGTGAAAAATGCATATGCGTTACCTTGACAGCATAGTCGATCACACGTTTACAGCCAACGATAACCCTTAATCCCGACATTGTCAACCGGTCAACCTTTGAGTGAACTTTGCACCAGTCTGCGAAACTAATAACACAGACAACTTTACATGTTATATGGAGATACTATTGTGAGGTTTGCGATTTCACGCAATTAGTGCTTGTAACATTATGCTGTAGTAAGTCTTTGTAATTAATACAATAACTTACTAAGAATTAATGTACTCTTGTTCAGAAATGTTCATCTACAGCTGCAGCACTTTGATTTTAATGTTTGAGAAAACATTAAAATAATAACTTCTCCCTGTGCCAGGAACGCCGGGCTTTTCAGCTCCAGTTGCACAATTGATAAACTAGGGCCCGCGAAGGCGGATAATTCTTCATTAAATCTTAGTGTCCAAGGGGTCAAAGGCTACCGCAAACTAAATCAAGTTACTTTTTTTACGAAAACAAGCCTAATTATGTATTTTAATAAACTGTGCTCCGTCTCCACATGTTAGGTTAAAACTCCACTGCAGCACTTGACACAGCCACATTTTTCCGTATTCGGCAGCGTAGGAGAGCTATCGATGTGAGGAGTTTTCGCATCACTATACAAGTCGCAGCGCAGGAGAAGTTCTGTGCAACGCTTGTCACATGTGATCAGCTGTGATATGATTGATATTCAGGTATTACCTTAGTTAAAAACAAATGTAGGAAAGCATCATTGGACCCCATGTTAGAAAACATATTTCTCAGTAATGGTTCTTGTAAGTTTTCAAGTTGACATAAATCATAACATGTTGTGAAAGTACAGAAATGTAAACATGTAAAATATCTACCCCTCCCTGTGACCCCTCCTAATTTTGAATTAAGTAAACATAGATTCATTTCATTATTTATAGATCCTTTTGAATAAGTAAAGTTATTGTAAAGAGGCAGTGTGAACAGAAATATTTCTATTATCTTCTCCTTCTATGTTCTCCAGTTGAGTTCTTGGTAGCCTATCCAGTATCCTAGAAAATCACACTGCAGATCTTCACTGACATCTGCGTCTACAGCTCTATGAATGTGTCCATCAGCTCAGTCACAGTGTATAATAAAGAATTAATATCCTTGACATTTTAACCTAGCCCTAACCTAACCTTCTGCCCTAGCTTCCTAACAATATTGCGCTAAATATTTGTATTGAAAATATAGTATTTGTCAAAAGTTATGAACTTGTAAACACAAACTTGCAGTCCCTAACCACAGAGTTATCTCCCTTCCAATTATGGCTCATTCTAGTGTGTACAGTAAATTAAGGAACACAACAACATTTTATGTCATTCAAGGTGAGAAACAAAAACAACAATAATAACATTGAAGGGGCAAACCTAGAAACATAATCGGGGCGAACCGGGATTCGAACCCACAATCATAGGTTTCTGGCGTGCCCAAGGGATGCAACTCAGCACAGTGAATAGCGACGCCTTAGACGACTGGGCCACCCGTGCCCCCTTTTACAGAAAGCATGGGTTGCTGAAGACCTATTCGACCCCGCATCTTCATGGGTCCAATGGAATTAACCAAGAGAATTAACCAATGGAATTGTAAGATTCTTATTAGAGGTATGACAACCCAAAGTCATAACTGAGAGTCTTCTGGACTAAATTATAGAAAGACCCAGGTAATTGATCTTTTGGGTGTTGAGAGATATGGTGTAGTTTTTAGAGACACTTTCTTGATATGTTATCAAAATCATTGTGAATTATTCTGTGGGATATAGTTAAGATGAAGATATTTTCATGCGTATTCCATTTAATACAAACTCCCTCTTTTGTTCCAGGTGAGACAAGGATGAGGTGAAGGTTGCCATGTCCATGTTCGCGAAGATTGCGTTCTACCCCACCGTGGGCTACACGCTGTTCATGGCACAGGTGTCGTCCAGGAAGTACTACAACAGGATCAATGACACAGTGGTGCTGGGAGCTCTGCCGATCAAGTGGATCCTCAAGGAGGTCAAGTGATGCCCTGTGTTTATACCCAATAGGGACCCAGGTCGGGTGATGCCCTGTGTTTATATCCTGTGGGGACCCAGGTCAGGTGATGCCTAGTGTTTATACCCTGTGGGGACCCAGGTCAGGTGATGCCTGGTGTTTATACCCAATAGGGACCCAGGTCAGGTGATGTCTAGTGTTTATACCCTGTGGGGACCCAGGTCAGGTGATGCCTGGTGTTCATACCCTGTGGGGACCCAGGTCAGGTGATGTCTAGTGTTTATACCCTGTGGGGACCCAGGTCAGGTGATGCCTGGTGTTTATACCCAAGGGACCCAGGTCAGGTGATGCCTGGTGTTTATAAGCCGTGGGGATCCAGGTCAGGTGATGCCTGGTGTTTATACCCCGTGGGGACCCAGGTAAGGTGATGCCTGGTGTTTATAAGCCGTGGGGACCCAGGTCAGGTGATGCCTGGTGTTTATAAGCCGTGGGGACCCAGGTCAGGTGATGCCTGGTGTTTATACCCTGTGGGGACCCAGGTAAGGTGATGCCTGGTGTTTATAGCCTTGTAGGAGTCCAGGTCAGGTGACCCAGGTTAGAATACGTCCTGACAACTCTATTGCTTGTCAAAAATAAAGGGATTAGATAATTTGCCAGTGTATCATTTCATTGAGAATTTGCACCAAACAATGTGATACGTGATACACTTGCCCATGTATCCCCAGTGAAGATCAGGGTTAGAATTGATCTTCAGCAACCCTTGCTTGTCGTAAAATGGGACTAACAGGACGCCAATAACCCAATACAATAGCGGCTCAGGATGGCCTCACCATACTGCCTATCACGAAAACATTCTGCGGAATACAATTGCATAATACTTCAGAAACAAACCTCAAATTAAATGATCATGTGGTTCCATTTTGTTTCAGTTGACTGCAAAGGAGAGCGTTACTGCATTGGTGTCTGTCAACGAGAACTTTGAGCTGGAGAGCCTTGTACCTTCAAAGGAGGTGAGCCGCACTGGTTGCACATGTGAGGTGAATTGCACTGGTTGCTCATTGAGGTGAGCTGCACTGGTTGCTCATTGAGGTGAGCTGCACTGGTTGCTCATTGAGGTCAGCTGCACTGGTTGCTCATTGAGGTCAGCTGCACTGGTTGCACATTGAGGTCAGCCACACTGGTTGCACATTGAGGTGAGCTGCACTGGTTCCTCGTTGAAGAGGGGATAGTTACATGTGAATTTAAATATTGTCCCAAAGTAGACTTGATTCTACTGATTGGTTTACATTCTGTATTTTGATAAACTCAACCAGTCTCATCATTTAAGTATAAATATAAATATAACAGCATTATTGAGGCCAACCTTCATTTTGAATATTTATTGTTTTGTCACCTTGGAGCTTATTGTGAAAGAGACCGCCTCCGTGGTCCAGAGGTAGAGCATCTGCCCGGAGCGCAGATGGTCCGGGGTTCAATCCCCAGCCGTGTCATACCAAAAGATGTTAAAAGATGATACTTGTTGTTACCCTGCCTGGCAATCGGGATTAAGGACTAAAACCATGACTGGTCAGCTTAGAGTCAGTATACCGTGTCTGGGTGGGGTATTCATGTTAAACTGCGGCATGGTATCTCAGTGAGCTAGCACTATAAATTGGCATCAGTCTGGAGTAGTACAAGCAGCCACACACACACATGCATGCACGCCGCTTTATAAGTGTAATAATTTTGTACGATATGATGTTAAACCCCATTGCGCCTCACCTCTTGTGAAAGAGCAAAACAGAGAACAAATTATTGTGTCTCCAATAAAAATCTCCGGTCCCCCAAGGGATCTACAATGATTGATCCCTTAGTCAGATTATGTTATGGTCCATGTACCAATCCTGCATTTCTTGCATTTCAAAGTCTGAGGCTAATGAAGCGTTCTCTACCCTCTCAGGATCTCCGTCAGCGAGGCATCGACCAGCTTCAGCTTCCCACTGTGGACTACGTGGGAACTCCATCTCAAGACAACATCCGCCGCGCTGTGGACTTCATCACTAAGTACAGGGAGAAGAAGGAGACAGTCTACGTTCACTGCAAGGCCGGAAGGACACGCAGTTCCACAGTGGTGGCGTGCTATCTGATGGAGGTAGGGTGCTGTCTGATGGAGGGAGGGTGCTGTCTGATGGAGGGAGGGTGTTGTCCGATGGAGGTAGGGTGGTATCTGATGGAGGGAGGGTCTTGTCTGATGGAGGTAAGGTGCTGTCTGATGGAGGTAGGGTGCTGTCTGATGGAGGTAGGGTGCTGTCTGATGGAGGTAGGGTGCTGTCTGATGGAGGTAAGGTGCTGTCTGATGGAGGTAGGGTGCTGTCTGATGGAGGGAGGGTGCTGTCTGATGGAGGTAGGGTGCTGTCTGATGGAGGTAAGGTGCTGTCTGATGGAGGGAGGGTGCTGTCTGATGGAGGTAGGGTGCTATCTGATGGAGGTAAGGTGCTGTCTGATGGAGGGAGGGTGCTGTCTGATGGAGGTAGGGTGCTGTTTGATGGAGGTAAGGTGCTGTCTGATGGAGGTAAGGTGCTGTCTGATGGAGGGAGGGTGCTGTCTGATGGAGGTAGGGTGCTATTTGATGGAGGTAAGGTGCTGTCTGATGGAGGTAAGGTGCTGTCTGATGGAGGGAGGGTGCTGTCTGATTGAGGTAGGGTGCTGTCTGATGGAGGTAAGGTGCTGTCTGATGGAGGGAGGGTGCTGTCTGATGGAGGTAGGGTGCTGTCTGATGGACGTAGGGTGCTGTCTGATGGAGGTAGGGTGCTGTCTGATGGAGGGAGGGTGCTGTCTGATGGAGGTAGGTGCTGTCTGATGGAGGTAAGGTGCTGTCTGATGGAGGGATGTGCTGTCTGATGGAGGTAGGGTGCTGTCTGATGGAGGTAGGGTGAGCTACAGAACCTGATTTCTGTACCATGACCCGTAATGGGATGTCCTCAGATCTTTGTTTAGCGATAGCGAGAACTTAGATCTGATTTTAATGAGATTGAGAAGGTTGCAAGTTCTGTGTTCAGTAGAGGTGTGCTGTCTAGAATTGGTTGTGAACTAATATTTGATGATTGGATCATCTGAATCATCTAAATCAATTGTTCTGGCTTTATCCACAGATTTCCATTGTTAAGTTCAGTAAAACTAGATCACACCTCACAAAAGCAAACAGAAGTATGTACATCAGCACTGGCCTCTCTCTCTCTCCATCTTCTTTCTCCAAGTAGTAGCTAGTGAATATACTTTTATTTCATGCACCATTTCCCATCTTGCAGACATACAACTACACACCGGAGCAAGCGGTGGACTTCATCAAGGCCAGAAGGCCACATGTGTGGATCCGGGAGAAGCAGTGGAACTCCATCAGGACCTTCTACAGGGAAATACACAAAGACCCAGTGTCTGGCTGAGGATGTTATGGTGGAGTGTGTGATTTGTTAGGCCTCATCCTCTCTGAACCTATTTCAACCTGTCTGAGTCTCTCTGGGTCACTCTTGGCCTATTTCAGCCTGTCCGAGTCTCTCTGGGCCACTCTGGACCTATTTCAACCTGTCTCTTAACATATCTGGACCTCACTTGGCCTACCTGAGCCAATCAGATTCTCTGTGGGTCTCTCTGGACCTGTCTGAGTCTCTTGGAGTCTCTGTGGGTCTCTCTGAACCTTTCTGAGTCTCTCGGAGTCTCTATGGGTCTCTCTGGACCTGTCTGAGTCTCTCGGAGTCCCCATTGATCTCTCTTGACCTGTCTGAGGCTCTCGGAGTCTCTGTGGGTCTCTCTGAACCTTTCGGAGTCTCTCGGAGTCCCCATGGGTCTCTCTGAACCTGTCTGAGGCTCTTGGAGTCTCTGTCGGTCTCTTTGAACCTGTCTGAGGCTCTCAGAGTCTCTGTGGGTCTCTCTGGACCTGTCTGAGTCTCTCGGAGTCTCCATGGGTCTCTCTGAACCTGTCTGACTTTCTCGGAGTCTCTGTGGGTCTCTCTGAACCTGTCTGAGTCTCTCTGAGTCCCCATGGGTCTCTCTTGACTTGTCTGAGTCTCTCGGCGTCTCTGTGGTTCTCTCTGAACCTGTCTGAGGCTCTCGGAGTCTCTGTGGGTCTCTCTGAACCTGTCTAAGTCTCTCAGAGTCTCCATGGGTCTCTCTTGGCCTACCTGAGCCAATCAGATTCTCTGTGGGTCTCTCTGAACCTGTCTAAGTCTCTCAGAGTCTCCATGGGTCTCTCTTGGCCTACCTGAGCCAATCAGATTCTCTGTGGGTCTCTCTGAACCTGTCTACGTCTCTCGGAGTCCCCATGGGTCTCTCTGGACCTCTCAGAGTCTCTTGGAGTCTTTCGGAGTCCCCAGGAGTCTCTCTGAACCTGTCTGAGTCTCTGAACCTGTCTGAGTCTCTCTGAACCTGTCTGAGTCTCTGTGGGCCTTTCTGTGTTTGTGTTTGTTTCCCTCCAGGGTTTGCAATTGTGTGGTGTCAGTGCAGGAAGTGTGGTACTGTATGCTAGCGTAACTTCAGGAGGTCTTCCAATGATGGGGGAAAATAACAATGCCAACAGTCTATATAGTTTTTGCCTGCATGTGAAGGTCATTGAAGTGTGAGAAGCTTGATTCATCAGATGGACTGATATACAGATATCTTATGAATAGTATTAACGTGGGTTGTTTTTTTTGCATAATTATCCAGTTTGATCATTTTACAATGCATTCATCGTAACAAGGTAAATATGAACCACCATGCTGTGATATGACATCTTACATTACGGACATCATTGACATTGTTTCTAAACTTGTTTTTGTAAATAAACGTTTCCAGTTGAATGTGTCCCAGATACGTTTGTTGTTTGTGCTCACTCGCTCACACACTCACTCACTCACTCACTCAGTTACTTGTGCCTTATACCCAGCTTTTTTTGTTAGTTTGTTTTTTTTAAATACTGAGGCACTAAACAACATTCACTCACTCACTTGTCTGCTTGTTTGAGCCTGTTTAGAATGCCTCCACTACACTCCTAGAAACACGAAGTGATCACAGTGCTTTAAAGTGTACAACATTTAGAAGATCCATGAAGGTCCTGAGTAGCTTCAATTGGTATCAGTTATCAATGCTTGCTGTAAGAGGCGACTGACCTCATATCCTAAGTGATAGATGGACTCTCATGATACCAATCACTTGATTGTCTGGTGCTACCATTTGATATTTGTAGGTGTGTGTGTCGGGGGATGGGGGGGTTTGGGTGGCGCTTAGGTTTTATCGAAAGTAATAACTTGTCCCAGATTAAGCATGAAAAAGATAATTATACTGCATACTGTAGAACAAGAAAAAAATACCAGGAACATTTTTTATAAATCTTTTTTTTTCTCAAAACACACCCTTAGGCATGTAGTTTAAATTCACAAGATATCTATTTTTGCATTTGTAGCTGAAAAAATATATGGCTAACTCCAACATCCCAGGGGTCACGGGTGGCCCAGTCATCTAAGGGGCCCCGATTCGCTGTGCAGAGTTGCGTCCCTTGGGCACACCAGAAACCTATGATTGTGGGTTCAAATCCCGGTTCGCCCCGATTATGTTTCTAGGTTTGTCAGCACCATACCTTGCTCGTAGGTTTCACGGAAGTGGTAAACGTCTGAGACCTGAATCACTTCGGGCTTTCCTCCCACATTAAGCTGACACACCTGATAAAACTGGAATACTGTTAAATGTGGTAAAACCCAACTCACTCACTCACTCCAACATCCCAACAGGCAGACATGGTGATGCTCCTACCCTTGCCACTGTTAAGAGGTGGGCAGCAGAGTTCAAAGGGGGGAGAAAAAGCCTCGAAGATGCTCCAAGATCAGGCAGACTTTCAACTGCCACCACTAAGGAAATGTTAAAAATATGATATCATTACAAATGACTCGCCATGCGTCACATGGGCAATACAGCAGGTATCTCTCTGAAGAATGAACTGGGCATGACAAACGTTTCATCATGTTCCAAGGTTTCTGATTCGTCATCCGGAGCGTCTGTCTAGGTTCATCATCATTTGTAAGAATTGACCTCGTTTTGAGGCAGATCCAGCTGATTTTGTTGAGTGATTGTTTGTTTGTTTGTTGTTTAACGTCTGTAAATAATCGAGTCTGGACCAGACAATTCAGTGATTGTAGCATGGATGAGTCTTGGGTTCACCACTATCAGCCCGAGACTAAACCACAATCAAAGCAGTGGAAACATCTAGTATTTCCGAAGAAGAAGGCCAAGTCTGTTCCATCTGCTGGCAACGAGATGGCCTTCGTTTTCAGGGATTCCAAAGGAATCCTATTGCACAGGAACTCGATGATAGCGTGTATATTCGAATAGAAAAAATCACACCCCTCTATACACACTCCACTTCTTCCCAAACTTGGCAAGCATTATGCAAGTGGACCCGTGAAGACCCGGGTTAGAATAGATCTTCAGCGTGTCGTAGGCGAGGCGACTAACGGATCGGGTGATCAGGCTCGCTGACTTAAAAAATTGGTTGATGCATGTCATCGATCCCAATTGCGTGGATCAGTGCTCGTGATGTCAATCACTGGATTGTCTGGTCCAGACGAGATTATTTACAGACCGCCGTCATATAGCTGGAATATTGCTGAGTGCGGCGTAAAACAACAACCAAACATTATACAAGTGATGACGTAATATCTGCTGTGGAGCACTTTTCACACCACCAGTGGGATGCCTCTGGAACTCTATGACAGCGTGTATAGAAAAAAAATCACACCCCTCTATACATAGTCTATATGTCATCTTCCCGTGGCAAGAGAGTTAACTCACTATAAAAGTCTAGTTTCCACTTTTAAAGTCAGTAGTTTGGGCGGTCGGGTAGCCGAGTGGTTAAAGCGTTCGCTCGTCACGCCGAAGACCCAGGTTCGATTCCCGACATGGGTACAATGTGTAAAGCCCATTTCTGGTGTCCCCCGCCGTAATATTGCTGGAATATTGCTAAAAGCGGCGTAAAACCATATTCACTCACTCAATTTAAAATCAGTTAACACTCTTGCCTCAGGAAGATGTCTATATGTATAAGAAGGGTGTGAGTTTTTTTCCGATTCGAATATTTTATTATATGTACAACTGTCATCGAGTTCAGGTGTGGGATGCGGGCACTCCAGCGTCGTTGCAAAAATGTGTGAACTCCCCAGGGGATTATGTTGAAAGACTCCATCAATGCAGTCCTTCAAAGTTAACAACAACGTACCCAACGGCGTGAGTCGATGCTCATAATATCAATCACTGGATTGTCTGGTGCAGACTCGATTATTTACAGGCCATTTCTTTGTGTGATCGGCAGCTGGCAAACCAAAGCACCGTAGACTGTCCCAATGTCAGTGGTCATGGTGTCAGTCACCGGATTGTCTGGCCCTGACTTGATTATTTTACAGACCACCGTCATATAGCTGGGGGGCGGTCGGGTAGCCTAGTGGTTGAAACGTTCGCTCGTCATGCCAAAGACCCGGGTTCGATTCCCGACATTGGTAAAATGTGTGAAGCCCATTTCTGGTGTCCCCCGCCGTGATATTGCTGGAATATTGCTAAAAGCGGCGTAAAACCATACTCACTCACTCACTCACTCACTCACTCACTCACTCACTCACTCACTCACTCATATAGCTGGAATATTGACGTTAAACAACAAACAACACACTGACACGTACGTCTTTCTCAGACGAGCCAGTTTTTTTTGCCGATTGATGTAAGCAAACGTAGGTTACAAAAGGCCGGAGTGCGGTTATAAATTTATTCAAAGCATGTGCATGTGTGACAATACATTAGGACACACTGCGGTGAAAGAATCCAGTCCTGGTCGGCTATTAGCTGAACTTAAATGTGTTTCTTTATCTCGAGATATGCTATGGTTAACCTTGGTCGTGCGATGCCCATTCTCCACGATCTGGTGTCATTTCCAACCCGTATGTCTTGTAAGTCGAGGAGACCGCCTCCGTGGTCTAGTGGTAGAGCGTCCGCCCGGAGAGCGGAAGGTCCGGGGTTCGATCCCCGTCCGCGTTATACCAAAAGACGTTTAAGGATGGTACTTGTTGTTACCCTGTCTGCCGCTCGGCATGAAGGGGCTAAAACAAGGACTGGTCGGCTCGGAGTCAGTATACTCTGTCTGAGTGGGGTATTCATGTTAAACTGCGGCATGGTATCTCAGTGAGCTAGCACTATAAATCGGCATCAGTCCGGACAAGTACAAGCAGCCACGCAAACACACACGTACATGCACTTCGCTATATAAGTGCAATAATCTTGGACGCGACGTTAAACCCCACTTCACCTCACCTCACCTGTAAGTCGTGGTATATGTGAAACTGAGACGCTGTCGCTGTATAACGAGGGTGCTAGTTTACTGCTAGCTTAACATACATAATAAACTTTAGGTCAGAAGTTCTTATAAACGATGGACTCTTAATTCAGCCGGTAAGTTTTGACCTAGACCCCACTTTCAACAGGTTCAAGTGGACTGAATGATTAACAAACAACCGTTATGTTGCTGGAATATTGACGTCAAACATCAAACAACATACACTGAAAAGTACTTTCTTTTTTTCAAACAAACGAAGTCTGTATTGCGAAGTCGGTGACCCCTCGCCCCACTGGTTGGGGTTCTACCGCCACCCACCCTGGACCAGGCCCGGACACTATCAATGCTTCTATGGGGGTCTTATGTTTATGAACCGCCTCCGTGGTCTAGTGGTAGAGCGTCCGCCCTGAGAGCGGAAGTCCGGGGTTCGATCCCCGGCCGCGTCATACCAAAAGACGTTAAAAGATTGTACTTGTTGTTATCCTGTCTGGCGCTCGGCATTAAGGGTCTAAAACAAGGACTGGCTCGGAGTCAGTATATTGTGTCTGAGTGGGATATTCATGTTAAACTGCGGCATGGTATCTCAGTGAGCTAGCACTATAAATCGCCATCAGTCCGGACTAGTACAAGCAGCCACACACACGTACATGCACGTCGCTATATAAGTGTAATAATCTTGGACGCGACGTTAAACCCCATTTCACCTCACCTCACCTCACATGTTTATGTGAATTAAATGATGACTATCCAAGAATCGTCGTGTCCTTTAAGTTACCGTATTCGACGTAATAAGCGCCCAGGGCGCTCTCAAAATTAGAAACAGGGGGCTCTTATTAGAATATTATTTTGGTGGAAAAAACAGAGTTGAAAGATAAATTTCGTGGTTTATGCTGACAGCCTGAAATGTTTATGTACGACAGATATATTTTTCCAGAATTTCATTGCTCGTAATTAAGGGTGCATATAACACACGAGTGCGTATTATACACGAATAAATAAGTCGTGTGTACATTGATCAATTGGAAGGGGTGCTAATTGGGATTGTTCACTGGTCAATATGTGAGCAATTATCGCCGTGGGCGGTTATTAGAGCGGGGCGCTTATTACGTCGACTACGGTAAACTGTAATGAGACTATTCTCTATTACATTTACTCAAAAGTGTTGCGGCAGAACCCCCATCATCTATACTACTGCTGCGTCATTTTTTCATGACATTCACCCCAACCCATCCCAGGTTACAAAAGGCCGGAGGGGCGGTCGGGTAGCCTAGTAGTTAAGGCGTTCGCTCGACACGCCAAAGACCCGGGTTCGATTCCCGACATGGGTACAATGTGTGAAGCCCATTTCTGGTGTCCCCCGCCGTGATATTGCTGGAATATTGCTAAAAGCGGCGTAAAACAATATTCACTCACTCACTCACTACAAAAGGCCGGGGTGAAATATATTCTATGCATGTGTGACAATACATTTTGGACACATCGCGTGGTTTTATGTAGTCTCTACACGATTACTACATGCGGCCGTCATACAGCTTGACTATTTGACTTGCTGAGTGCGGCCTTTACACGAACAACCAAAGGAATGGTAAAATGCCTTATAGACATGAGCAAAGTTTATTACAACGCATACTGTGTAAAATACAGCAAGTCTAGAAAATGGCGACATTTGTCGACCGAATGCCAAAAATGTGCAATTTGAGACAGAATGTGTCAAGTTGAGAGGCAGGTTACTGTGCTTGTCATAGAATATCTAACCAGTATGGTTTGTTTTTTATATTTCCTACAAGCTATAGAACTCCACTAAACAGTCAAACGTTTATTGCACCAAATATTCTTTAAATTACAGCAAGTCTAGGAATAAGAGACATTTGTCAGCCGAGTGCGAAAAAATGTGTCATTTTGAGACAGAATGTGTCAAGATTGATAGATTATCAATTCCACAATGTCGATGTTTGCTGCTATTTTGTAATATTTTTTTCACGTTTAGCAATGTTGTAGCAACAACACAATTGGAAAATGTCAGTCAGTCAGCCAGAAAAACTTTGCAAGACTTGATTACTGTCTATTGAAGTATAGCGCGCAGAGGCCGCGGACCAGTTAAAATATATCAGCCAATAGAAACACGCCGTGTTCGTCACTGCTGAGAGTAGCTTCATTGGCAACCAGGAAGACCGCAAGCATTTGTTGTGTTGTTTCCGCACAGTTGTGTCAAAATGCCGCCTAAAAAGAAAAAGGGGAAAGGAAAGGGCAAAAAGAAAGGCAAGAAGAAGGATGGTAGGTGTTTTTAACGAAAAGCAAGATAATGTTTGACGATCTGTGCGCAAAAACATCATCTCACTCCCCTGTGAATTAGTCCGTGTTGGGAATGGGTAAAATGACATATCGACGATATAATAGCAAAACTGGTCCTCACATCTCGTGATTTAAGCAATTTATTAACCAAATATTTCTTATTGACATTCTTTTAATTTTAATGCAGTTGTCTATCTTGTTTAATCTGTTAGGATCAACGTCTTAATGTTTATTATGAGAAGTCGGACATCTTCATAGCTTATTTACTTCACAAGGCAATCGATATTTCTGAGAATTATTTCTTATGAGCCATATTTTGTTTGTTCAGTGACTGGTTTATTGACCGTCATACATTTGATGTTCATTTTTAATTTCTTGTTATATCCACAGATGCCCAATTGGAACTTGAAGATAAATACAAGCGGACAATGGACGAGATTGAGGCGCTTAAGGACCACCTGGGTAATATTGCTAAGGATCTTTGGAATAGATTTGTTCATATTACATGAGGTACTACTGACACCAGTTTGTACAAATCTCCAAGGAAAATCTCCATAGTGAGGTCTGGACTTTCAATTGAAAGTGAGTGAGTGAGTATGGTTGTACCCGGCTTTTAGCAATATTCCAGCAATATCACGGCGGGGGACACCAGAAATGGGCTTCACACATTGTACCCATGTCGGGAATCGAACCCGGGTCATCGGCGGGACGAGCGAACGCTTTAACCACAAGGCTACCCTACCGCCCCTAATTGAAGATGATGGTTAGTGGGATGGATATGACCAGGAATCTATCATAAAGTTTCTTGATTTTTAATCATAAAAATATAGATTGTCAAATAAGACGTCAGTGAATGCAATCTTAAAACTATTGGGATCCGTAGTGATGCAGGTGTCAAACTGTTGTAATCAGTTGTAACGATACACGTATTGTATCGCGATTCAAGGCCAACCATACAATACATCGATTTACGACTCCTGTATCCTTATACATTAGTACAAGTTATATTGGTGTAAAATCTGTGAATAATAACAAACTGTTTAACCACCAGCTTATGCAGATTCTATAGTATTTCATGGTTGGACCACGATTTTAGTTCACTAGTCTTTGTTATGATAACATATAGCAAAACCCTTAAAAATGGCAAATTTCTACCAGTCCTTAGGAAACTTTAACTACTGGGCAGTTTCAATTTCTAACCCTGTGGTCATAAATAGCATAACATTCACAGTGCTCTCCACCTATATGTCTGCTCTACAATATCCCATCTTTGATCTCTGAAATTTGACAACAAATGATTCAGGGTTGTGAATACGATCAGGATACGATTCCTTTCGCACACATAGTATTGGGATATGTATCGTATCATGACCCCATCATATCGTTAAACCTCTACTGTGCATAATCAAGTAAGGCTGTTAAAATAACACTGTCAATACTCCTCCTTCACAGGTGTTAATCACTATTGTTTGGGACTGATACATTATTTTATAGGGGTGGTGGTGAAATTTGTCTTAGGACTGTATCATATTTTTCTGCCCCCCCCCCCCCCCCGCTTTATGTAACGTTATTTCAAGACCCTCACTTTTACCATTTGTTTTGTGAACTTACATCCCCTATTGCTGTGGGGAGCTTGAGGACAGAGTCAAGCTCCTCACAGCGATATCCCATTCGCGGAGCTCTCTACACTATCGCTGCCACCAGTCAAAACTCCCCACTGTGATAGGTGACCACAACCATGCTTTGAGTTGAACTCGCAACCAAATGACCGTTATCAGTGTTCGAAATACCTGCCTGCCCGACCGTCCGAGATGGGTTGATTTCAACTCAGGCTGCCAGATTTTCAAATCCCCCTGCCCGACGGTCGGGTTATATTTCATATGTGAAAATATTCTTAATATTTCCCAATGATAAGCATTAGTTCACATGTAAAGATGAATGATAAAATGTAACCAAAAAGAAACCCCGTTAGCTTATCCTGAGAAACATATGATTATAGTGGGCAGGCAGGTTTTGGTCAGGGCTGGCAAGTATTTCAGCTAGCCAGTCCTGTGGTCTGGCTGAAATTTGGGCGAGTTTCATACCCTGCCGTTATGTTTACAAACAAGTGATGACTGGCGTGACGCCAAATATTCTTATCCCAGTTTAATTATTGTCTTTGTTTGTCAATTTAAATTTGAGTTTTGAATCATGTAATTGGTGTAAGAATATAAGGGAGAAGTTGGTTGATTTTCCGTTCGTCTGCAATCTCGAACCAATCCGATCAAACAAACAAAAAGGTAAATTCAACTCGGAAATAAGATCAGTTGTTAACCTTTTCAAAATTAACTGTGATGGCATTCCCAAAGACATAAACAAAAGTATAAATGTCACACCATTTGGGGTTAGAGGGCACATTTCAAGATTCTTGTAATGGCCGCGCCCACACTGGTGGCAGCGATGTTACCGAGAGTGTAACAAAGGTGTCACACACTGGGAAGGAGCTTGGGACAGAGTGTACAAAGGGAGGTTATTCACAACTTTACATTAATCGCATACCACTGAAAAAAACTGCTCTTTTGCCAGACCTGTTACAGCACAGCATATAAATTTGCAGGTATGCTAATCCTAAATGCAGAATATGGGAATCTTTCAACTTACCAAGATTAATAATTTTACACAACATTTCATTTTTTAATTTATCAATTTTTCCTCAGCGGTACGGAAGCAGCTGACGAGGCGTGCCAATGTGTCGAGTGACGGGTGGCAGCAGCGCATGTCGACGGCGGAGAAAGACCTGGAAACCCACAAGGCAGACCAGCTTGCTATCAACGCAGGTGAGTCGGTTGGGCAGGGCGGTAACCATGGCAACATGACACTTTGCGGTTTCAGGTTTGTCCGTGTTGTTGAGTGTCTGGTGCCAGGAAATATCTTTTTTAATTTCTAGGAGTTTCAAGACTTTCAGTAGATAAAATTAACTGAATGAGAGAAGTTATGTACAATTCGATGACAGTTTAAAATTTCCAAGGCTTGCCAAGGAGTTTTTATCTTTTGTTTGCTTGTTGTTCAACGCCGCATTCAGCAATATTCCAGCTATATGATGTTGGTATGTAAATAATCGAGTTTCGACCAGACAATTCAGAGATTGACATCATGATCATCAATCTATGCAATGAGGATACGATGACATGCATCAACCATGTCAGGAAGTCTGACCAACCAATCCCGTTAGTCGCCTCTTACAACAAGCATAATCGCCACTTACAGCAAGCATGGGTTGCTGAAGACCCATTCTCTATCCAGATCTTCACAGGGATTTTATCTTTTGTCGACAAGTGTTGTTATATTTGATAAAAAAAGACATTAGGGTGAGGTTATTTTCATCCTCTGAAATCTTCCAACTTGTTCAGTTTGTAAACAGTTAAAAAACAGGTCTCAAGGACACCTAACCAGATTCAGTGGCATAGAGGTTAATGATGTCGATTGATCGTGGTGTCATGGTAACTGATGACTTAATGCTAGGCTGAAAAAAAAATAGTCTTGGTTCTCAGGCACTGCCCGCATCATCATAAAGTCTGCAACATGTTTCGTTTTTATTTCCATTTCCAAAATAATATAAAAATCCCAATACTTAAAAACAATGCAATCTAATATAGCACACAGTTACTTCCCTTTACATGCGCGCTGCTTTACTGCGCATCTTGTGTTATGGTCATGGCAGCAATAGGAGTTTGTGTGCTTCATTATGCAGGGAGGCCCTTCCCCAGGTTGATGGTACTCAAGTGTTTAATAATAGTTTAGACCGGCAAAAAAACCACCTGCAATATATTTTCAAAAGTCATTGCTTGAGAACCAATTCTTTTATTTTCTTAAGCCTTAGTCTGCAAGTATTGTGATGTCATTGACTTCACCTGCGTGATGTCTCCTGTATAAGCCAACTTTGGATGATAATGAGATGTGCTGTTTTCTTCCAGACATGACGAGGCAGTACAAGACGATGCAGACCGAGATGGGGATCACCATCCACCAGTTGGAGACGGAGCTGGAGAGGACACATCAGACACTCAGTCAGTTATCTCCCCTTATCTCACCCACTCAATCTTGTTTTAATCTCTGTGTCATTTATATCCTCATCATACCTGCAAACAATTTCTAACCCATACTCCCCATTATGGTTTTGATAAAGTATACTACTCAAAAGAAGTTAAGGAACACCCGATTATTTCATATTACTATAGTTCATCTATCATGGGCTGCACGGGTGGCCCAGTCGTCTAAGGCGCCGCGATTCGCTGTGCAGAGTTGCGTCCCTTGGACACACCAGAAACCTATGATTGCTGGTTCGTATCCCGATTCTCCCCGATTGTGTTTCTAGGTTTGTCAGCACCCTACCCGTGCTCGTGGGTTTCACCGAAGTGGTAAACGTCTGAGACCTGCATCACTTCGGGCTTTCCCTCACACATCAAGCTGACACACCGTGATATAACTGGAATACTGTTAAAAAGCGGCGTTAAACCCAACTCACTCACTCACTCACTCATCTATCATGGAATGACAAATTAACTTTAGTAATATGAAAGAAACAGGTTTTCCTTAACTTCTTTTGAGTAGTATATTATGGTTTTGTGGTTCCGATCTTCAAATCTTAACCAGTGATGTGCTGGTCAATCTCATTAAAATCAGATAATAGTTCTTGCCCCTGCTTAAGAAAGATCTGAGGACATCCCATTAGGGGTCGGGGGGCACGGGTGGCCCTGTCGTCTAAGGCGCTGCGATTCGCTGGGCAGAGTTGCGTCCCTTGGCCACACCAGAAACCTATGATTGTGGGTTCAAATCCCGGTTCGCCCCGATTGTGTTTCTAGGTTTGTCAGCACCATACCTGTGCTCGTGGGTTTCACCGAAGTGGTAAACGTCTGAGACCTGCATCATTTCGGGCTTTCCTCCCACATTAAGCTGACACGCCGTGATATAACTGGAATACTGTTAAAAAGCGGCGTCAAACCCATCTCACTCACTCACTCACTCTCGCCCACAGATGTTGGACTTTGTGCAGCAGGATTCCAATATCTTATCTCCGTGCCCCCTAGGGGACCTTCCATCTAATCTTCTGTCCAAAAAGATGCTTGAAAAATATATCTATGTTTTAATCTGTTGAAAAGAAAAGAAATTGTCTGCCACAAACTTCACAGAGCCTTTTTAAAAGTAATTAATTCCAAATGTTGTCGTTGCAGAGAAGACGGAGGCGGAGCTGAAGAAGACGAAGGAGGAGAAGGAGATGATGAGGCGAGAGAAGGACAGCGAGATCAACGACCTCAAGTTGAAGATCAGCAGCATGGAAAAGGCCTACGAGAACATACTCAGGGTAAGGCCATCGGGTATATACTCAGGGTAAGGCCATCAGCGATATACTCAGGGTAAGGCCATCAGGGATATACTCAGGGTAAGGCCATCAGAGATATACTTAGTATAAGGCCATCATGGATATACTCAGTGTAAGGTCATCGGGGATATACTCAGGGTAAGGCCATCAGGGATATACTCAGGGTAAGGCCACCAGGGATATACTCAGGGTAAGGCCATCAGTGATATACTCAGGATAAGGCCATCAGGGATATACTCAGGGTAAGGCCATCAGGGATATACTCAGGGTAAGGCCACCAGGGATATACTCAGGGTAAGGCCATCAGTGTTATACTCAGGATAAGGCCATCAGGGGTATACTCAGGGTAAGGCCATCAGGGATATACTCAGGGTAAGGCCATCAGGGATATACTCAGGTAAGGCCACCAGGGATATACTCAGGTTAAGGCCGGCCATCAGGGATATACTCAGGTAAGGCCATCAGGGATATACTCAGGGTAAGGCCCCCCGGGATATACTCAGGGTAAGGCCATAAGGAATATACTAAGGGTAAGGCCCCCAGGGATATACTCAGGGTAAGGCCACCAGGGATATACTCAGGGTGAGGCTATTGGGATAAACTCAGGTGAGGCCATCGGGGATATACTCAGTGTAAGGCCATCGGGGATATACTCTGTGTAAGGCCATTGGGGATATACTCAGGGTAAGGCCATCAGAGATATACGTCGGGTAATGCCATCAGGGATATACTCAGTGTAAGGCTATTGGGATAAACTCAGGTGAGGCCATCAGAGATATACTCATCTAAGACCATCAGGGTTATTCTCATAATAAGGCCATCAGAGATATACTCATCTAAGACCATAAGGGTTATTCTCATAATAAGGCCATCAGAGATATACTCAGTGTAAGACCATGAGGGATGTACTCAGTGTAAGGCCATCAGGGATATACTCAGGGTAAGGCCATCAGAGATATACTCAGTGTAAGGCCCTCAGAGATATACTCAGTGTAAGGGCCAATAGATATACTCAGTGTAAGGCCATCAGAGATATACTTAGTGTAAGGCCATTGGGGATTTTCTCAATGTAAGTCCATTGGGGATATACTCAGTGTAAGTCCATTGGGGATATGCTCGGTATAAGGCCTTCAGGGATATACTCAGTGTAAGGCCATTGGTGATATACTCAGTGTATGGCCATCATGTATTTTCTCAGGATAACACCATCAAGGATATACCTCAGACATTGGGATATTTTGTAGAATATCCCCGGAAAGAACAATATGATGACGTCACAAGAGGTTTATCAAAGAAATTATAAGCTAAAATGGCAATTGGATGACATCACTGGAGGTTAATATACTTAGGTACTGCCAGTCGGGATTTTGAAAGGGTAGGAATGTGAGAGTTACGCATTAAATAAACGGATGACATCTGAAAACCCTTATCTTCACGAAGCAAGTGAGTGAACTGACTATACAAGTCCAGTTTCCACCCTTGCCGAAAAAGGCTGGTATTATGGAGTTCCATTTTGGCTGGATTAACGAGTCTATGCATAGTCCATTCAAAATCGTGCTCCGAAATCGAAATTCGGTTCGTAAATTGTGATGCAGATTTCGGTCGATTGCAGGATTTGCAAAGCATGTGCAGCGCTAACTCGTTGTCAACAGATATTTTCCAAATCTTTTCATGCTTTTAATCAAGGTGCTCACGTAATTTGATGCACTTCGCGATGTAAGACTTGTTTTATCACAAGTTATGGAACTTAATGCAAGTGATACGAAAGGTGGAATCTGATTGGTCTATAGGAGAGGCATAGAAGGGACATAACTCGTAACAGCCACTGTCGACGCTACGATCGAGCCCAGGAATTCCAGCCTAGTTCGGCAAGGGTGGAAACTGGACTTTCTAAGTCAGTTAACTCTCTTGCCTTAGGAAGATGGGATCATTAGAATAATGTAATAACTTGTCCAACTCTTGTTCTTCTGTTTGACAGGAAGCTCTGGAGTCGCTGGAGGCTAAGATTGACATGGCCAAGAACATGTGGGAGGAAAAGTCTACCCACATTCAAGCCAAAAATAAACAAGTCCTTCTAGAGTTTGGTCTGAACCCATTAGATATCTAGAATTTGGCCTACATTCTCGGAACATCTAAAACACCCAATAAGCCTTGATTCTCTGGACATCTAGAACACCAATCTGGACTTGATTCTCTGGACATCTAGAACACCAATTTAGACTTGATTCTCTGGACATCCAGAACACCAATCTGGACTTGATTCTCGGGACATCTAGAACACTAATCTCGTCTTGATTCTCTGGACATCTAGAACACCAATCTGGACTTGATTCTCGGCACATCTAGAACACCAATCTCGTCTTGATTCTCTGGACATCTAGAACTCCAATCTCGTCTTGATTCTCTGGCCATCTAGAACACCAATCTCGTCTTGATTCTCTGGCCATCTAGAACTCCAATCTGGTGTTGGTTCTATAGACATCTAGAGCAACTGTTTGGCCTTGATTGTGGGTTTGAATCCTGGTTTGCCCCGATTATGTTTCTAGGTTTGTCAGCACCATACCCGTACTCGTGAGTTTCACCGAAGTGGTAAACGTCTGAGACCTGCATCACTTCGGGCTTTCCTACGACATTAAGCTGACACGCCACGATATAACTGGAATAATGTTAAAAGCGGCGTTAAACTCAACTCACTCACTCATTGTCTTCTTCCAATATTGATGCTATTCCTGATATTCTTGTCCATCCCAGCTTCAACAAAGTGATCTTAGCACTAAGGTGATCATAACTCCCACACCTTAACATAGAATTATCACAGTCGTAGCGCTAAGGTTGTTTCGTACAACCCCCTGGAGTTTATAGGATGCCAGTGATACTGTAAGGCTGGATAATCAGTCATAACGCAGATCATTTGGTGACTTATACTACTCAACTTCTGATAGGGACAGTTCTGTTATTCCTAGATATAAACGGGGGCACGGGTGGCCCAGTCGTCTAAGGCGCCGCGATTCGCTTTGCAGAGTTGCGTCCCTTGGGCACGCCAGAAACCTATGATTGTGGGTTCGAATCCCGGTTCGCCCCGATTATGTTTCTAGGTTGGTCAGCACCATACCCGTGCTCATGGGTTTTACTGAAGTGGTAAATGTCTGAGACCTGCATCACTTTGGGCTTTCCTCCCACATTCAGCTGACCTGCCGCGATATAACTGGAATACTGTTAAAAGTGGCGTTAAACCCAACTCACTAACTCAGTCACTCCTTGATATACAGCAGCGTCCCAATAACATGTTCAGAAGTGTGTTATAAAATGTGTCCAATGATGTTTGTGATCAGATTGAGAAGATATGCATGATGTATTGAAGTCTGCCTTTTTTGTCAGTGCTCACACTGTAAATCTCAGCATTAAATAAAATATTGTAAAATTTGTCAAGGAGTTGGTGCTCCATTTTATCCTTGATATAGTCTGGGAATGCTGAAACAATACCTATTGGGGATGCCTGGTTAGAATTGGTCCCTATCACCTTTGTTGATTGTGCAAGGGACTTAATGGCTCACTTGGTCAGGCTCGGTGATTGGTTGACTGCTAGTCATCATACCCTGTTGGATGTGGGATTTGGCTCTAAATCACTGGATTGTCAGGTTCAGACTCAATAATTTTACAGGCCATGATCATAATGCTGGAATATCCAAAACTTGCACTTATATAGCTCTGTGTGCATGCGTGCGTGCTTGCGTGAGTTACATACGTGCACATAGAAACGGGGACCCACCTGCAGATATATGTAGGTGGGTGTTGTGTTACATACAGGCCATGGTCATAATGCTGGAATATCCAAGACTGTTCACTTATATAGGTGAGTGTGTGTGTGAGTGTGAGTGTGAGTGTGAGTGTGAGTGTGAGTGAGTGTGAGTGTGAGTGTGTTTTTAGACTAATGCCGATTTTATAGTGCTAGCCCACCGAGATTCCACTCCGTTATACAAGACTACCCCACTCAGACACAGAAAACTGACTCCAAGCCAACCAGTTCTTCTTTTATCACCTCAATGCCAAGTGTCAGGCAGGGTAACAACAAGTACCGTCTTTTAAGGACTTTATGTGTGCCTATGTGAAAGAGCTGAAACTATAACATACCCTGATGTTGTGACGTGTTCACTGAACGTGACACTCACTATGGGGGGGGGGTGTCGGTGTCCGGACCCCTGGAACACAACTCTAACTCTGGATCCGTCTATGCTTGCTGAGCACGATGTGGTCTGCCATTGTCATCTTGCAGTAAAAAAAATTCTGCCGATAATAATTGTGAATCGAACAACGACAGTTTGCAAAATTTCGTCATCATATCGCTGGCTAATCAAATGTCAATTCACAATAACCGCACATACATGGCACTACCGCCCCCACACCGATCATGGTCAAGAATTGTTGCCCTGGTAACCACTCGCCGCTTCATCCCTACCAACATTTTCTGCCAACATTTTTTATCGAGGATAAAACCCTAAAACGTCTGAAAACTGCCCGTCCCTGGTGTTGCCATGCTCATCCCGCCCTCTGCCGCCTTGGTAAGTTGTCAATGTCAAACCCACCACAGGTCGCCGTGCTTTCAGACGGGCTGTATTGAGCCGGGGTTTAACGGTGGATGTTGAAATTCCGTTATTGTACGGAAATCTCTATTTGATAATATCATATTGATAAATAATCAGATTTGAAACTAAATTGTGTAGTACAATTAATGTAATGAGACAAACTTACCTAGGTGATATATTTTAGGCCTGTCGTCTGTCATACAGGGTGTCGTCACTCCAGTGAGTGAGTGAGTGAGTGAGTGAGTTGGGTTTAACGCCGCTTTTAACAGTATTCCAGTTATATCGCGGCGTGTCAGCTTAATGTGGGAGGAAAGCCCGAAGTGATGTAGGTCTCAGACGTTTACCACTTCGGTGAAACCCACGAGCACGGGTATGGTGCTGACAAACCTAGAAACATAATCGGGGCGAACCGGGATTCGAACCCACAATCATAGGTTTCTGGCGTGCCCAAGGGACGCAACTCTGCACAGCGAATCGCGGCGCCTTAGACGACTGGGCCACCCGTGCCCCCGTCGTCACTCCAGAGCGACATTTGAATTATTTGTTTAGACTGAACGCGAGAGCGACATGCGGTTATGCTTTGAAGTTTGAATCTGTTTACGTAAAGGATCAGTATGCTTTAACATAGGATTAGTATGTTCACCATGACCACATCTCAGTAATTAATTATGATTTAGTAATCATACTAATCATTGTGGCACGTTCAATCAGTGTCAACCGAAGACATCTGCAGTTGCAACCACAGATGTTCCAGGTATTTATATATACGATAAAACTATAATTATTTGTAATTTGTTTAAGTATAAATTAATATTAATAAAATTTTACAATTTGGTATTAACAATATTAAACGCATTGTGCACTAAATCCGACCTTCATTGGTTCGTTAGCAAATGTAACGCGAGAGCGAAATACAAGTCGAGTCAAATTGAGCTATTTTCACCCCAATGTCGCTCTGGCGTGAATACACCGTCATACAGACCCTGAAACAAATATATCCAGTACAGCCCATGCAAGTCTATGTTTGGCAAGTCTAGATTACTGCAGTAAAATTACTGCTGAAAATGAAGAAAGTCTCTGGTCTATTCTAATTATATTTTATAACTATAATTTAACGACTTTTTTTTTCTGTAGAATATGTTCATTTCAGAGACTAGATGGTAGTCCAGATCTCAGTGCAACCCCACCTGTTTGACGGAAAGTGTCCAACAGTCAGAAATTACACTTTTTTAATCTGACAAACACTCGGGCAAGATATCAATCAATCAATCTTTATTGTATGAAAGGCCATTGGCCCATATACACATACAGATAAATAATATCATTTACAGCTGTACAGCGCATTATATAATTATATCGTACCCACAATTCGCCATTTTATCTGTTCATTGAGATACTGTCTTTTTAAGCGTGTGCTTTGCTCAATTGCATTGGTGATTGTGAGTTCCCCTACAGACGCACACACTTTGGCATCACGTGCTGTTCATGCATGATGTGAAATGTCATTGCGATCCCCCTTTACATTCAGATGCAAAGCAACGTGCGGTATTGTAAATATACACCTGTAATCTGTCTTACAGACCCTGATACAAATATATATCAAATACAGCCCATGCAAGTCTATAATGTTTGGCACGTCTAGATTACTGCAGTATGAAGAGAGTCACTGGGCTCTCTTTTATTATATTTTTGTTAAGATAACTGAACAACTGTTTTTTTTGTACGATATGTTCATTTCAGAGACTAGATGTTAGTCTAGTGCACTTTGCTCAACCACAGTTACATTCAAATCATTTGTGTGGCCTTATATTGTGTCGGCAGTATAAGTATAATGACTACACTTTATGCGCATAAACAGCAACCTCAACATATATTACAAAAATCGAAGCAAAACTAGTCTGGCAGGATTTATTAGGCTATTTGTTACTTGCAGAGAAACATCTTCTATATATGAACCCACAGATCAAATCTACCTAAGTCACGGACCTGAATAAAATCACAGCCCAACCAATCCAGGATGTCCTCGATGAATTACGGCTACGGACACCCTCATGTATCTACCCTGATTTAGCGAAGCGAAGATAATACGTGTGACTGTCGGGTACTCTGACATGGACAGGCGGGACACTGTTTGACCATGGATCTCTTTTACCGGGTGCTGCTACTTCCGGTCATTTTGAAGGTTGTCATGGGGACAGGTAGGCGTGGTTATGCATGCTATGTATATTCTAGTCTCGTTTTCAGCTCTCGTACTGCCTGTATTGATAGACTTGTGTTTTCATACCTGTAACTCATTGCCCACGATAAAATCAACGAGGCCTGTCGTATAACACTAGGAATAGTCCAAGCCTGCTCCAAACTGTCAACAGGGCAGGTAGACAAGATGGGGTTCCCACGTGGGATGACAAGCTTCGTTAATACGATGGGACGTTACGAGGGGAGGGAGGGGGGTGAAGACGGGCGGCAGGCTAAAACACGATGCCCCGAGGGTACGTTGGTGAGGCTTAATAGAAGAGAGAAGATGATAGCAAAGAAACGGGGGGTCGGTAAATGACAGACATTAATTATTGTCATCGTTTTGGTTCACACAGGGCAAGGATATAGCTGGTAGACCTTGACCTTGCGCGTGGCGACCTGCAAGGAAGTTGTTCGTGGATTTCCATGAGTTTCGAACGTGTTGTGTTACACGGCGTATCAAATGTTTTGAATGACTTCGAGTTTGTCACGCATGGCCAGCTTTCGTTAGATCATGCCGAAATAAACTGTTATATCTACTAGGGCTGGGACGGGTAACTTGGGTACTCGGTTCGGGTGGGTACTATAAACCTCTAGTGACGTCACTATTGTCTCGCCGGGGTCTTCTTTTACCGACTAAACCTCTACTGGTAGTTTACCGGGTATTCCCAGGGTAAGCCCAGGGTAAGCCCCGGGCATATACCGTGGGTAATCCCCGGGCATTCCTAGGGTAAGCCCCGGGCATTCCTAGGATAAGCCCCGGGCATAAACCCAGGGTAATCCCCGGGCATTCCTAGGGGAAGCCCCGGGCTTTCTGCAAGAAATCCCGGGAGATTTTCTACTGAAAGCCTGGTTTTTGTCCCGAAGAATACCCTCTGTATTGAATTACCTTTCTGCATGAAAAAAACAACAGAACATGGCTCAACTATTTGTTGATATTAGTTGAAATTGAAATTGAGCGTCACAGTTCGATTGAGTTTGTCTTCAGGTCTTCGGTCATCTGCTCTTATCGGATCAGCTTCTTCACGTGATAGCGAGTTCATTTTTTTTGACATACTAAGTATGTCAGAGACCGTTGCCTTTTGGATGTCAGAAGTTCTTGTAATTTCGAACGGCGTCGCTCCGATGTCCTGAAACAAATTGTTTAGATTACTGAAAGTATTACACATACAGCATACAAATACACTTAAAAACTATTACAGATTCCAAAAACACCAATATTACCACATATATCATAAATAAAAAAGAGCATCTTACTGGTTTGGAAAAAATATTTCTTTGATATGTTATGACGTTTGCTGGATAAAACTTTCTTATTACTGCAGGACTAAAATGTTTATCAACCTACCGGTAATTTCGCAAATCATTTGTTCATCAACGTCACCTTGATGCAATCGAGTGGCTGCCGTGGCTCTCAAGGAATGGTTTGTCTTCATGCCCTGAATACCGGACGTCTCGCACAGTCTTTTGACGGTAACTTGTAAGGTGTTGTGGCCGATGGCATTTGCAGTATACCAGTCTTTCGACGTTCTAGTCCTTCTTGGAGTGAAGTAGAAGTATTCAGTATGTTGACCAGGTTTACTGGGGGAAATAAGATAAAAAGGGACACTTGTAATATTTGTTTTTGTGAAACAATGCATTGAGTGGGCTGATACTCCACCTTCTGAAAATTTCATTCAAAATTTAGAATGCAGTCAAGATTTATATATAACGATTATTAAATACATAATTCCAAAACCCCTAAATAAACGTAGGTAATACATGCAATATGCATTGGTGTTTTTTAACACTTACCACAAAGACCTGTTCTTTTCAAAAAGACGCACAAAACATCTTTTAGGGTTGTCCGTGTTCTCATACGCTCGAACTTGTTTCGGTACCAGCTTCCTGTGCTTCAGGCCGCCGTGATTAGTCTTTGACGCGTCTTCCGTGTAGAGAAGATACTTTCTGCCATTATCGTCAGTGTGGGGACCTGTTATTTGGGGGTTCGAGAACAGCCTCAGCGCTCTGTGCTCTCTTCCTCCTCGCAGTGCGAAATGCAAACTTGTGTAAATGTTTTGAAAATGTGTATTTCAGACAACGGCAAATATGAACAATAATGAAAATTCAGTTAATTATTTCAACAAACTGTTAAACTTTTGTGTTCAAAAAGGTTCACACATTATATCAATTTTATATGTGAATGAACAAATTCCAATGATTTAGTATATACTACAGTAAAGTACGGTTATAACGAACTCAAAGGGACTACTAATTTTAGTTCGTTTTAACCGTAGTTCGTTATAAGCATATATACTGCATAACTCCAGCAAATAGTCGGGACCAAAAACGTAGTTCGTTATATCCGTCAGTTCGTTATAAGCGTGTTCGTTATAACCGTAGTTTACTGTATTTGTAAAAGTGATTTTCGAAGATATAAAGAAAAACAACTGTGTGAATTACTTTACTTACCGGTAAGATTCGTCGTCCATTGATATAGTTTCAGTTTTCTTCCTGGCAGAGCAGCCCAGTCCTTTTTTAGAAAGTTCCTTCATTAAAGCGTCCAGACATGTTCTGCTCTCTTCAAACTGTTGATCCTCGAACAAATTAATGTTCTTTCGCCCTTTAAGCCTCAAGCCCCTCTGAAGAGCGGTAAACAGTCCATGTATAGTATCCGCCATGTACTGGGTGCCGTCCTGTTTCCTCGCCTCAAAAAGGAAATATTTGAAAGCGGTGTTCATAGTAGATAGGCTCATTTCGACTATATCCTCTGTCAAGCACTTTTGCGGTAATTCCAAATTGTCCGCAATTGACCGTGACTTGCGTTCTTCGTGCCACCGTTTAAATGTTGAGTGTGAGAGAGTTGGGTTTAACGCCGCTTTTAACAATATTCCAGTTAAATCGCGGCGTGTCAGCTTAATGTGGGTGGAAAGCCCGAAGTGATGCAGGTCTCTGACGTTTTACCACTTCGGTGAAACCCACGAGCACGGGTATGGTGCTGACAAACCTAGAAACAATCGGGGCGAACCGGGATTCGAACCCACAATCATAGGTTTCTGGCGTGCCCAAGGGACGCAACTCTGCAAAGCGAATCGCGGCGCCTTAGACGACTGGGCCACCCGTGCCTCCGTTTAAATGTTGAGAATGCCCAGTCATTTTTATAACGTGTTGTTCTAGGGACACAGATCTCGATTTTCTTGGCTACTTCACGCTCGGAGAGTGGATCTCCAAAACGGAATTTAAAGTCATCACTTTCCTGGTCTTCTTCAGCACAGGATGCCGATTCTTTTAAAACTGACTGCGTCAGAAATAAATCGTTGTCGTCTGCGTCCATCCTCTTCAGTGGAATTCATTCGACTGGCTTGAACCACGTGCGCTCATTGTTACAACGGGCCTGAAGCACGTGCGTCACGTGCAGCGCGCGGATGTACTCCCCGCGTATTGCAGTTAAACTCTCAACAGTAAATATCAATGAATTCATGTTTATACCAATTAGTAAAATTATTTCTAAATCATATTTTTGATCAGTTCATAAGTGAGTTCAAAAACTTGCCCTCGGTTTTGTTTCGGAAGTATGCCCTTGGCCTCCGCGGGCATACTTCCGAAACAAAACCTCGGACGCGGTTTTGATTCTAGTTAGTAGGACCTGGGTACCCAGACCCGTGGTTACTCACGCGATATGTTGTTTAATGACAAAAAATATCTGGAACTCTGTATTTAAACTACAAGTTACTAATGTTCGCATTTCTTTCTGATTATGCACCCATTCCTTCTGACTTCTCATATGGTTGAATAAGATATAACTTAAGTCAACTTCAGTGTATGATGACCAGATTGTTCAATACATATATCTAAATACGTTTTGCCAGGGCTATGGTAAAAAATTCCCAATCGGACATTTTGAAACATCTCTTGAGCACCACAGTGGGTACCCGGGTAGGGTCGGGCAATAGGGGTGTGGGTACCCGGGTAGGGTCGGATAATAGGGGTGTGGGTACCCGGGTAGGGTCGGGTAATAGGGGTGTGGGTACACGGGTAGGGTCGGGTAATAGGGGTGTGGGTACCCGGGTAGGGTCGGGTAATAGGGGGGTGGGTACCCGGGTAATAGGGGTGTGCTTACCCGGGTAGGGTCGGGTAATTGGGGTGTGGGTACCCGGGTAGGATCGGGTAGTAGGGGTGTGCTTACCCGGGTAGAGTCAGGCAATAGGGGTGTGGGTAGGGTCGGGTAATTGGGGTGTGGGTACCCGGGTAGGGTCGGGTAATAGGGGAGTGGGTACCCGGGTAATAGGGGTGTGCTTACCCGGGTAGGGTCGGGTAATTGGGGTGTGGGTACTCAGGTAGGGTCGGGTAATAGGGGTGTGCTTACCCGGGTAGGGTCGGGCAATAGGGGTGTGGGTACCCGGGTAGGGTCGGGTAATTGGGGTGTGGGTACCCGGGTAGGGTCGGGTAATAGGGGTGTGCGTACCCGGGTAGTAAATTGGGACTCATCCCAGCCCCAATATACGGTGACCCATAAGGGACATGGAGTCTGTTTTTCAATAGTTTGATATTTCACTTACTTTTATCGTAACCTTTTGCAAATTAACACAATTTGTCATACAAATATGTGATAAATCATGTATAAAGTAGATATTGAATCGCTGGAAAGTGAAGCGAAAAAGTCAAAAACAAAAATGAAAATGTCAAAAACTAAAATGAAAATCCAGAAAACTATTTACACCGCGGTGAAAAACTATTTACACCGCGGTAGAAATATTATCACCGCGGTGGAAATAGTTTTCTGGATTTTCATTTTAGTTTTTGACATTTTCGCTTTTGTTTTTGACATTTTCATTTTTGTTTTTGACATTTTCGCTTCACATTTCAGCGATTCAATAGCTACTTGAAAGTACATTTTCCAAGTTTTCGGTTGTTTTTATACATGATTTATCACATATTTGTATGACAAATTGTGTTAATTTGCAAAAGATTACGATAAAAGTAAGTGAAATATCAAAATATTGAAAAACAGACTCCATGTCCCTTATGGGCCACCGTACTAATATCTACACTTGTAAGAAGACACATGGTGGTTTATTAACACATCTACCTTGTAGTCTGCGATTACACGTTTCACTATAAGTAAAACCTTGTGGATTTTTTAATTACCGTATTTCCCGAATTAAGCGCCCTGCTCCAGTCAGCTCACGGACCAACTTCTGTAAGTAATATTCATAAGCGCCCAAAACTAAGACCGCAAGTTAACATGGAATGACAGTCCTTTCGAAATCTAGGCCCTCCCCGATTAAGATCCTTGGTTGTTCATTGTTATGCCAGTGTGTATTGTTTCACCAAATCGATCTAAAACCTGCGCATATTTCGCTTACCTCTAACATACAGCCTCTGTTATCACTGAACTGATGTTTAACGGGGCGTTGTTCGCACTTCCTTCAAGGCCCAGCAGGTAACGCGGGAATGGGGATATATCTGTATATAATATGATTGTGTGTTACATATCAACTGACCCGTGAAGATCCGGGGTTGAATAGGTCTTCAGCAACCCATGCTTGCCGCAAAAGGCGACTATGCTTGTCGTAAGAGGCGACTAACGGGATCGGATGGTCAGGCTCGGTGACTTGGTTGATGCATGCCATCGTATCCCAATTTCGTGGATCGATGCTCATGATGTCAGTCACTGAATTGGTTCAGACTCGATTATTTACAGACCGTCGTCATATAGCTGGAATATATTGCTGAGTGCGGCGTTAAACAACAAACAAACAAACAAACACAGATTTATTTATTTTTATTGCTGTTCTACGTTACTGGCAGGTGAGGTTTACAACCTCTACTTGTATCGGTCTATCTGGAGTAAAACCCCATCTACCCGGAGCTTGCATGTAGGATGGGGTTTGATGGGTTTTGTTGTTTTGTTTGTTTGTTTTTGTCGGGTTTCTTTCTGTCTTATCTTCTTCTTTTTTGGATGGGTGTGTTATGGACAATATCTTTTCGGTCACTGCTTCAATACGTTTCTCGACCGCCTCCGTGGTCTTGTGGTAGAGCGTCCGCCCGGAGAGCGGAAGGTCCAGGGTTCGATCCCGGGCCGCGTCATACAAAAAGACGTTAAAAGATTGTACTTGTTGTTACCCTGTCTGGCGCTCGGCATTAAGGGGCTAAAACAAGGACTGGTCGGCTCGGAGTCAGTATACTGTGTCTGAGTGGGGTATTCATGTTAAACTGCGGCATGGTATCTCAGTGAGCTAGCACTATAAATCGGCATCAGTCCGGACTAGTACAAGCAGCCACACACACACATACACGTGCATGCACGTCGCTATATAAGTGCAATAATCTTGGACGCGACGTTAAACCCCATTTCACCTCACCTCAAGTACCGTACGCCAATGGACCCGGGGTAGAATAGGTCTTCAGCAACCACGTTGATGAAAGTATCATCTACGTAGATGAAAGTATCTTTTACGTAGATGAAAGTCACTTCTACATAGATGAAAGTATCTTCTACGTTGATAAAGTATCATCTACGTTGATGAAAGTATCTTCTACGTAGATGAAAGTAACTTCTACGTAGATGAAAGTATCTTCTACGTTGATGAAAGTAACTTCTACGTAGATGAAAGTATCATCTACGTTGATGAAAGTATCTTCTACGTAGATGAAAGTATCTTCTACGTTGATGAAAGTAACTTCTACATAGATGAAAGTATCTTCTACGTTGATGAAAGTAACTTCTACATAGATGAAAGTATCTTCTACGTTGATGAAAGTAACTTCTACATAGATGAAAGTATCTTCTACGTTGATGAAAGTATCTTCTACGTTGATGAAAGTAACTTCTACATAGATGTAAGTATCTTCTACGTTGATGAAAGTATCATCTACGTAGATGAAAGTATCTTCTACGTTGATGAAAGTATCTTCTACGTAGATGAAAGTATCTTCTACGTAGATGAAAGTAACTTCTACATAGATGAAAGTATCTTCTACGTTGATGAAAGTATCATGTACATAGATGAAAGTAACTTCTCCGTTGATGAAATTATCTTCTACGTAGATGAATGTATCTTCTACGTTGATCATCGTATCTTCTACTTATCTTCTAAAGTATTTTCATCAACGTAGATGAAAGTATTTTAGACGTAGATGGTATTGTTTTAGACTGTGGCACCAATACGCTTCCCTACCACAATAACTAAACCTTAAACATATTGACTGTCTGACTATTCCAGGGTATGACTGTAACGACACCGACCTCCACATCAACGCCACAGCGGACCCACAAGTCATCAGGTCACTTGACTTCCCACTAGACTACGCCAAGTAAGTCCTAATTGCATCAGCACAATTTTCACATCAATATCAGACTTATCCGGAGTCATTAGTGTGTTTATATATAATATATATATATATATATATATATATATATAGAGAGAGAGAGAGAGAGAGAGAGAGAGAGAGAGAGAGAGAGAGAGAGAGGGAGAGAGAATAATGTTTATTATAGTGTCACATGTTATATACACTTCATACTAAAACACGTACACAGACAATAAAATATAACATCCGACCAGGTATGGCCTACGAGACACCAGACATGAAAGCAAATGTATACCGTCATGATCTGGATAAGGTAAATTAAGACATATACTAACATAATGTTTAAAGTTAAGACTGGGTTATGAACACGCACGCACGCACGCACGCACTCACGCACGCACGCACACGCACACGCCAAATTACTTATAAAGTCACGCACACCATCATACACAAGCACGTAGACACCCACACATCCACACATTCCCCCCCCCCCCCCCCCCCCGCCCCCCCGAACTCACCCCACCCCACCACACACCATACCACACACAAACGCACGCACGCACACACACACACACAAACACCATACGTATATTATACCCCCCTCCTCACACACACACACACACACGCACGCACGCACGCACTCACACGCACGCACGCACGCACGCACTCACACACCATACATACATTGTATTTTCACCATACATATTGAATCTATTGCTGTCCAGGGGCACTTTGCTCAGTCAAGGCGGCGAAATTCGCTCCCTTAGCCTTGCCAGGATCCGATGATCCAGGGTCCGAATCACAGTTTAGCCCCGGTCCGCCCGCACCATACCCATACTCGTAGGTTTCACCGACGTTTTAAGTCCTGCATCAATACGGGTCCCCTCAGCCAACAGTGGTGACACACGGCCCCATGTACAGCCCACAGGCAACACACCAGGCGAAGATATTTTGTTTGTTTCTTGTTTAACGCCGCACTCAGCAATATTCCAGCTATATGACGTCGGTCTGTAAATAATCGAGTCTGGACCAGACAATCCAGTGATTGACATCATAAACATCGATCAACGCAATTGGGATCGATGACATGCATCAACCAAGTCAGCGTGCCTGACCATCCGATCCCGTTCGTCGCCTCTTACGACAATCATAGTCGCCTTTTATGGCAAGCATGAATTGCTGAAGACCTATTCTACCCCGGATCTTCACGGGTACATAAGGCGTAATAACCACAGGTGGCGCTGCGATCGAGCCTGGAAATTCCAGTGGAACCTACACTTTTGTAGTCAGTTGACGCCCTTGCCTCGCGAAGATGGTGCAGACACGACTTCAGTTTCAGACAGAATATTGTCTCAACTGAGCGTTGTTATTTTATTTACTTATTTATTTATTTATTTATTTATTTATTTCAGTAACATATCATGCAAGGTTCACATCAAAGCTCCAACCGATGGTCACGTGCTGCACGTGGAGATCGTGTACATGCAGCTGAATAACTGGAACAGCACCTGCGGGGACCGTCTCATTGCTTACGACGGTAGGTGGGACGGGGGCCGTCTCAAGTGATAGGTTTAAGGGCGAGGACGTACTATTGGTTTAGATTTCATTTGTTGAGGGGAATGAAGAGGATCGCCATCGCATCGTACTTGCGGTTTTTCAAACATTAATTTTGATGCATTATGACAATTGAAATAGACACAGATTCTCAGGATTTTAAGTTTCTGCAGATCTATCGAAAAGTAGCAAGATTAATAAGTTGATTTATGGAATAATGTCCATGCCTTTCCGGCCATTAAACTGTTAACTGTGTTAAAAATGCTCTTTTTTTTCAAGTAGCTGTTTTAAGTAAGGGAGACCTGTCCATTCTTCTCGATATTTGTCTGAACCGACTCAACCGTAACCAACAGTGGCTACAGTGTGACTTGGTTCACTGCGGGTGTTCATGCTATCAACTACTGGTTTCGTCTTTCTCGACTGCTAACTAACTCACTCACTCACTATCGGTTACATTTGTTGATTCTATTCCAGGCAACACCAGTGACGTCAGTGAGCTACACAGGTGGTGCGGATCTGACAAGATGGCTACGGCCACTTCCGGTGATAGCCTCTTTCTGGTATTCGAAACAGACGATTTCCTGACCGACTCGGGCTTCATGCTGCGATTCTGGCAAGACGGTGAGGCTACAATTTGACATTTATCTTCCCGCGACAAGGGGTGCAGGGGTGGCCAAGTCGTCGCGATTCGCTGTGCAGAGTTGCGTCCCTCGGGCACGCCAGAAACCTATGATTGTTGGTTCGAATCCCGGTTCACCCCGATTATGTTTCTAGGTTTGTCAGCACCATACCCGTGCTCGTGGGTTTCACCGAAGTGGTAAACGTCTGAGACCTGCATCACTTCGGGCTTTCCTTCCACATTAAGCTGACACACCGTGATATAACTGGAATACTATCTGAGAAGGTTTGACATTGGGTTTTCTATGTAATAAGATTAATATTTCTCACAGTTACGTAAAACGTTGTTATGGATGGGACAATTGCGTTCAGGTACTTTTATTATATGCAATGGTTTAAAATCCTAATGCCGAAAATAAAGAATAGTAATGATTTGTTTTTTTGACATAATCAACTTCTATGACTATCGCGAACGTTGTTACTGAAACGTTGTGTGATATATCACATACACAACTTTTTCACAACGTAAATATGCAAAGTTTGTATTACGTAGTGTCATAACGTTATAGGGAGACGTAATAATTACGTTGTGACAACGTTATATCACAACGTTACCAATCTACAACCTTACCACAACGTTTTGCAGACGTAGTGTGTTATAGCTGGGAATACTGTAAAAAGCGGCGTTAAACCCAACTCACTCACACACACTCCCGAGACAAGGCAGTTAACTGACAATAACATTCCAGTTTTCACAGGTCAGTTAACTCCCCTACCTCTAGAAGATGATACACATTTAGAAGATACAGTAATTATTCATGATCCCAATGATGACAGCAAGCGTGGAATGACTTTATTTCGGCGACCTCAAGCAAAGTCCATTGAGAAACCTCGGGGCAGAATATGTCCTCTCCTTGTCGTCCCTTGATATGGGCTCGGGTGGTTACGACTTGTGACCTCTACGACTGTGTCATCCTGACCCGACGGCGTAGGATGGTGCTCATGCTGTCGACCACTGGTTCGTTTCGCCGTGAATATTGTCACGCTTAACAGTGTTGACTCTTTCAGACGTTATTATATTTAGCCTGTCCGGATATGCCAGAATAACCGCCGTATACGACATGAAACTGCATTCACCTTCTCGACATTTCAGTTCCCACGACATGCAGCCCTGGCAGTAGCAGAAACCTCACTATAACGGACACCCCAGTCCTGCTGACATTCCCCGGCCGCACCGTACAGACTGAGTGAGTACCAAGCTTGTCTGCCTGCAACCTTGGAGACCTTTTTGAATACTTAACATGTTTTTGAAAATCTATATGTTCATCGAAAAAAGTAAATTGTTCCCGAAATTTCTTGACAAATATATTTATGCTTCAGACTGTTGAAGAAATTCGCTTTTAAATTTTTTTCCATTTTGCTAGCGATAAACATAATCATTTAGGTCACCTTAGTCGGATTATAACCAAAAAATTAAATATTGTTATTTCTTGAAAAGTGAACTTTGCAGTTATTTTGTAATATTTCTTATCAGGGGAAAGGCTTGTTTTCGCTATACAAGTATTAGCACAAAGGTGATCAGGCCCTGATAATTTAAAATTCGTAGAAAGTGGCAAACTCACTAGCTCACTGCTACTGTACACTGTACTGTGCCTGGTGTGTTCAGACAGGTGGGGTGCGTGTACCACCTGCAGACCACGGACACCCATCGCATCTCACTCACCATGCAGCACTGGGGGAACACGTCGCCGTCGCCGTCGCCGTCGCCGTCGCCGACGCCTGAGGGTTGCAAGTATATCCACCTGCAGATATATGAAGGTGTGTGTGTGTGTGTGTTACGTACGGGTACATAGAAACGGGTACCCACCAACAGATATATGAAGGTGTGTGTGTGTGTGTGTCACATACGGGTACATAGAAACGGGTACCCACCTACAGATATATGAAGATGTGTGTGTGTGTGTGTTACATACGGGTACATAGAAACGGGTACCCATCTACAGATATATGAAGATGTGTGTGTGTGTGTGTTACATACGGGTACATAGAAACGGGTACCCACCAACAGATATATGAAGATGTGTGTGTGTGTGTTACATACGGGTACATAGAAACGGGTACCCACCAACAGATATATGAAGGTGTGTGTGTGTGTTACATACGGGTACATAGAAACGGGTACCCACCAACAGATATATGAAGGTGTGTGTGTGTGTGTCACATACGGGTACATAGAAACGGGTACCCACCAACAGATATATGAAGGTGTGTGTGTGTGTGTGTGTGTGTGTGTGTGTGTGTGTGTGTGTGTGTGTGTGTGTGTGTGTGTGTGTGTGTGTGTTTTACATACGGGTACATAGAAACGGGTACCCACCAACAGATATATGAAGGTGTGTGTGTGTGTGTTACATACGGGTACATAGAAACGGGTACCCACCAACAGATATATGAAGATGTGTGTGTGTGTGTTACATACGGGTACATAGAAACGGGTATCCACCAACAGATATATGAAGGTGTGTGTGTGTGTGTTACATACGGGTACATAGAAACGGGTACCCACCAACAGATATATGAAGATGTGTGTGTGTGTGTTACATACGGGTACATAGAAACGGGTATCCACCAACAGATATATGAAGGTGTGTGTGTGTGTGTTACATACGGGTACATAGAAACGGGTACCCACCAACAGATATATGAAGATGTGTGTGTGTGTGTTACATACGGGTACATAGAAACGGGTACCCACCAACAGATATATGAAGGTGTGTGTGTGTGTGTTACATACAGGTACATAGAAACGGGTACCCACCAACAGATATATGAAGGTGTGTGTGTGTGTGTGTTACATACAGGTACATAGAAACGGGTACCCACCAACAGATATATGAAGATGTGTGTGTGTGTGTGTTACATACGGGTACATAGAAACGGGTACCCACCAACAGATATATGAAGGTGTGTGTGTGTGTTACATACGGGTACATAGAAACGGGTACCCACCAACAGATATATGAAGGTGTGTGTGTGTGTGTGTGTGTGTTACATACGGGTACATAGAAACGGGTACCCACCAACAGATATATGAAGATGTGTGTGTGTGTGTTACATACGGGTACATAGAAACGGGTACCCACCAACAGATATATGAAGGTGTGTGTGTGTGTGTTACATACAGGTACACAGAAACGGGTACCCACCAACAGATATATGAAAGTAGGTGTGTGTCACATACGGGTACACAGAAACGAGTACCCACCTGCAGATATATGCAGGTGTGTGTGTGTGTGTGTTTCATACGGGTACATAGAAACGGGTACCCACCAACAGATATATGAAGATGTGTGTGTGTGTGTGTTACATACGGGTACATAGAAACGGGTACCCACCAACAGATATATGAAGGTGTGTGTGTGTGTGTGTTACATACGGGTACATAGAAACGGGTACCCACCAACAGATATATGAAGGTGTGTGTGTGTGTGTTACATACAGGTACATAGAAACGGGTACCCACCAACAGATATATGAAGGTAGGTGTGTGTCACATATGGGTACACAGAAACGAGTACCCACCTGCAGATATATGAAGGTGTGTGTGTGTGTGTTACATACGGGTACATAGAAACGGGTACCCACCAACAGATATATGAAGATGTGTGTGTGTGTGTGTGTGTGTGTTACATACGGGTACATAGAAACGGGTACCCACCAACAGATATATGAAGGTGTGTGTGTGTGTGTGTGTTACATACGGGTACATAGAAACGGGTACCCACCAACAGATATATGAAGATGTGTGTGTGTGTGTGTTACATACGGGTACATAGAAACGGGTACCCACCTACAGATATATGAAGATGTGTGTGTGTGTGTGTGTGTGTTACATACGGGTACATAGAAACGGGTACCCACCAACAGATATATGAAGGTGTGTGTGTGTGTGTGTGTGTGTGTTACATACGGGTACATAGAAACGGGTACCCACCAACAGATATATGAAGATGTGTGTGTGTGTGTGTGTGTGTGTGTGTGTGTGTGTGTGTTACATACAGGTACATAGAAACGGGTACCCACCAACAGATATATGAAGATGTGTGTGTGTGTGTGTGTGTGTTACATACGGGTACATAGAAACGGGTACCCACCAACAGATATATGAAGATGTGTGTGTGTGTGTGTGTGTGTGTGTGTGTGTGTTACATACAGGTACATAGAAACGGGTTCCCACCAACAGATATATGAAGATGTGTGTGTGTGTGTGTGTGTGTTACATACGGGTACATAGAAACGGGTACCCACCAACAGATATATGAAGGTGTGTGTGTGTGTGTGTTACATACGGGTACATAGAAACGGGTACCCACCAACAGATATATGAAGATGTGTGTGTGTGTGTTACATACGGGTACATAGAAACGGGTACCCACCAACAGATATATGAAGGTGTGTGTGTATGTGTGTGTGTGTTACATACGGGTACATAGAAACGGGTACCCACCAACAGATATATGAAAATGTGTGTGTGTGTGTGTTACATATGGGTACATAGAAACGGGTACCCACCAACAGATATATGAAGATGTGTGTGTGTGTGTGTTACATACGGGTACATAGAAACGGGTACCCACCAACAGATATATGAAGATGTGTGTGTGTGTGTTACATACGGGTACATAGAAACAGGTACCCACCAACAGATATATGAAGGTGTGTGTGTGTGTGTGTTACATACGGGTACATAGAAACGGGTACCCACCTACAGATATATGAAGATGTGTGTGTGTGTGTTACATACGGGTACAAAGAAACGGGTACCCACCAACAGATATATGAAGGTGTGTGTGTGTGTGTGTGTGTTACATACGGGTACATAGAAACGGGTACCCACCAACAGATATATGAAGGTGTGTGTGTGTGTGTGTGTTACATACGGGTACATAGAAACGGGTACCCACCAACAGATATATGAAGATGTGTGTGTGTGTGTGTTACATACGGGTACATAGAAACGGGTACCCACCTACAGATATATGAAGATGTGTGTGTGTGTGTGTGTGTGTGTGTTACATACGGGTACATAGAAACGGGTACCCACCAACAGATATATGAAGATGTGTGTGTGTGTGTGTGTGTGTGTGTGTGTTACATACAGGTACATAGAAACGGGTACCCACCAACAGATATATGAAGATGTGTGTGTGTGTGTGTGTGTGTTACATACGGGTACATAGAAACGGGTACCCACCAACAGATATATGAAGATGTGTGTGTGTGTGTGTGTGTGTGTGTTACATACAGGTACATAGAAACGGGTTCCCACCAACAGATAGATGAAGATGTGTGTGTGTGTGTGTGTGTGTTACATACGGGTACATAGAAACGGGTACCCACCAACAGATATATGAAGGTGTGTGTGTGTGTGTGTTACATACGGGTACATAGAAACGGGTACCCACCTACAGATATATGAAGATGTGTGTGTGTGTGTTACATACGGGTACATAGAAACGGGTACCCACCAACAGATATATGAAGGTGTGTGTATGTGTGTTACATACGGGTACATAGAAACGGGTACCCACCAACAGATATATGAAGATGTGTGTGTGTGTGTGTTACATACGGGTACATAGAAACGGGTACCCACCAACAGATATATGAAGGTGTGTGTGTGTGTGTGTTACATACGGGTACATAGAAACGGGTACCCACCAACAGATATATGAAGGTGTGTGTGTGTGTGTGTGTGTTACATACGGGTACATAGAAACGGGTACCCACCAACAGATATATGAAGATGTGTGTGTGTGTGTGTTACATACAGGTACATAGAAACGGGTACCCACCAACAGATATATGAAGATGTGTGTGTGTGTGTGTGTGTGTGTGTTACATACGGGTACATAGAAACGGGTACCCACCAACAGATATATGAAGATGTGTGTGTGTGTGTGTTACATACGGGTACATAGAAACGGGTACCCACCAACAGATATATGAAGGTGTGTGTGTGTGTGTGTGTGTGTGTGTGTTACATACGGGTACATAGAAACGGGTACCCACCAACAGATATATGAAGGTGTGTGTGTGTGTGTGTGTGTGTGTGTTACATATGGGTACATAGAAACGGGTACCCACCAACAGATATATGAAGATGTGTGTGTGTGTGTGTGTTACATACGGGTACATAGAAACGGGTACCCACCAACAGATATATGAAGATGTGTGTGTGTGTGTTACATACGGGTACATAGAAACGGGTACCCACCAACAGATATATGAAGGTGTGTGTGTGTGTGTGTTACATACGGGTACATAGAAACGGGTACCCACCAACAGATATATGAAGATGTGTGTGTGTGTGTTACATACGGGTACATAGAAACAGGTACCCACCAACAGATATATGAAGATGTGTGTGTGTGTGTTACATACGGGTACATAGAAACGGGTACCCACCTACAGATATATGAAGATGTGTGTGTGTGTGTGTTACATACGTATTTCTTGCATTTAGACGGTTCACAAGTAGGATACAAACTCCCCTCTCGGTCTTGACGGGGAATGTAAGCCCGGGTAATCGGCCCTTACCTATTTCCTTCCTCCCCGGGCTTACATTCCCCATCAAGACCTCGTGGGGAGTGAAGGATAAACCACGTCCGAGGTTTTTGTTATGATCTTGAATAAAACCGATGGGCGTCACAAAAACCCGAGGGCTTGTGTTTTATCTAACTTATAAACCGAAAAAAGAAACTTAAAACAACATTTATCAACATACTTCTAACGAACCTTTGAAACGGGCGTAAAATATCTGTCACTGGCGTACGGTACTTCAGAAAGACATTCTTAAAAGCATTGTGATGTAACGATGCCTCTGCAGGCTGGTGGTATAACGGGTCAAACACAGGGATGCTTTTCTTCCAACAGGTTCACCGTCAGCCTCCCAACCCACCATCTCCTGGTGCCTCTCGAACCCGCCCTTCTCACGTGTCTCATCTTCCGGCGGGAGTCTCACCATCGACTTAACTGACACGACACCTAATACGACATCACCTTCCCAGCTCTGCAACTTCACCCTCATAGCAACCAGCGTGTTCGGTAAGAGTGAGTGAGTGAGTGACTATGGTTTTACACCGCTTTTAGCAATATTCCAGCACTATCACGGCGGGGGACACCAGAAATGGGCTTCACACATTGTACCCATGTCGGGAATCGAACCCGGGTCTTCGGCGTGACGAGCGAACGCTTTAACCACTAGGCTACCCGACCGCCCCTGTTCGGTCAGATATATCATCCTCACCTCGACTTTCTTCCATTTAGGAAATTATGTTTCTTATCCGCCAAGACCTGTTTCAAGATTACAGTAAACTACGTTTATTACGACCACGCTTATAACGAACTGCCGGATATAACGAACTTACTTTTTTGTCCCGACTATTTGCTGTAGTTATGCTCTATATATGCCTATAACGAACTACGGTTATAACAAACTAAAATAAGAGGTCCCTTTGAGTTCGTTATAACCGTAGTTTACTGTACTCGGTGTTTGATAATTCGTATATGCAATTTTGAAAATAACCCAAGTGTTCAATTCAAAGGATTCAATACTGAAATATGACATCTTCCCGGGGCAAGGGTGTTATCGGACTATAAAAGTCCAGTTTCCACCCTTGCTGAACGAGCCTGGAATTTCCAGTGGATATTGCAAGAAAATTCAACAAATTACGTCATAGGGCATTGTGACGTGGTTGTAAACTTTGTGGTGCAGGGGGCCATGTTCCGCAAGGTTTTTTTGGTTTGGTTTGTTGTTTAGGCCGCACTCAGCAATATTCCAGCTATATGACGGCAGTCTGTAAATAATCGAGTCTGGACCAGACAATCCAGTGATTGACATGAGCATCGATCCACGCAATTGGGACCGATGACATGCATCAACCAAGTCAGCGAGCCTGACCACCCGATCCCGTTAGTCGCCTTTTACGACAAGCATAGTCGCCTTTTACGGCAAGCAAGGGTTGCTAAAGACCTATTCTACCCCGGATCTTCGGGGGCCCGTTCCGCAAGGTGATCGTAGCGCAACGACAGTCGTACGTCTATGTATTTGCGAGTTATGGATAACTTTAGCGCTACGTTAATTATGTGGAGTGAGTGGGTATGGTTTAACGCCGCTTTAAGCAATATTCCAGCAATATCACGGCTTCATACATTGTACCCATGTCGGGAATCGAACCCAGGTCTTCGGCTTGACGTGGGAACGCTTATTCCACTAGGCTACCCCACCGCCCCTAACTTTGAGGAACAGAAAACCCTGAATTGTAAAGGTGGTCCGTTGTATAGTATTAAATTAATACGTGTAACCTTTTGATGTGTTTAAAGTATTATTCTGTTAAACTCAATTGGAATATGCTGTGGATCGCGTAGATATCTGCCTAGATTCACACACGACGGTGAAATTCTAAAAAAAAGTTATAAACGGCAAGTAATAAAAAAAATACTACTACGTGTACTCAAGCACGGGAGCTCGTATAATATTCTATATCTATTATACAGTTGAACACAGTTGTGTCGACAATAAATGGGCCTTCGTAAATACTTCGAGTTATCCGAGGTTGTATGATGAATAAAGAGGCAGTACGCAAGGACCAAGTTTTTACTTCGAGACAACCGTAAGACAAACCGGTGTTTGACTATATGTTTAAAACCGCGTCCAATGCATTGCCCCTAAATCCTTTAATTATATATTTTTGAGGGGGGATACAGGCGGAAGTTACTTCTGAGCATTACATTGGAAAAAAACATAAAGCTTTAGAGATAATCAAGTAAAGAAAGTTTGTCGTCTGCTGAGTTGGTGCCCAATTAATTATATTTTGATGCAATAGGAAGTGAGTTGGGTTTAACGCAGTTTTTAACAGTATTCCAGTTATATCGCGGCGTGTCAGCTTAATGTGGGAGGAAAGCCCGAAGTGATGCAGGTCTCAGACGTTTACCACTTCGATGAAACCCACGAGCACGGGTATGGTGCTGACAAACCTAGAAACATAATCGGGGCGAACCGTGATTCGAACCCACAATCATAGGTTTCTGGCGTACCCAAGGGACGCAACTCTGCACAGCGAATCGCGGCGCCTTAGACGACTGGGCCACCCGTGCCCCCCGTTGATGCAATAAATAAAATTAACTTTCTGTTTGTTGAAGGCGATGACGGTGTCGGTGTCGTAGAGGTGAGGACCTCCCCATCCTACGTATGGTTTTCTTTCCAGATCCAAGGGTAAATATTGATCACACGTGTCCCTGTCCCTTCTCCTACAGCACGGACTTCCTCTTCCTCTGTTGTTTGTTTGTTTATTATTACTTGTTTGTTTTTTGTTTACCGCCGCTCTCTGCTGTCTTCCAGCTATATGACGGCTCTCTAAGCAATTGGGATACCATGACTTGCATCATAGTCAGCGAGCCTAAAAGCCCAAGTCGTTGGTTGCCGAAGTAGTGAGGGGGAAAAGACGCACCAAAACTCCGATACATCCTGTCTTGTCAAGTATGTCGACATACGTATCCTGTCTTGTCCAGTATGTCGACATACGTATCCTGTCTTGACCAGTGTATCGACATACGTATCCAGTCTTGACCAGTGTATCAACATACGTATCCTGTCTTGATCAGTATATCGACATACGTATCCTGTCTTGACCAGTGTATCGTCATACGTATCCTGTCTTGACCAGTGTATCGACATACGTATCCAGTCTTGACCAGTGTATCAACATACGTATCCTGTCTTGATCAGTATATCGACATACGTATCCTGTCTTGACCAGTGTATCGACATACGTATCCTGTCTTGACCAGTGTATCAACATACGTATCCTGTCTTGATCAGTATATCGACATACGTATCCTGTCTTGACCAGTGTATCGACATACGTATCCTGTCTTGACCAGTGTATCGACATACGTATCCAGTCTTGACCAGTGTATCAACATACGTATCCTGTCTTGATCAGTATATCGACATACGTATCCTGTCTTGACCAGTGTATCGACATACGTATCCTGTCTTGACCAGTGTATCGACATACGTATCCAGTCTTGCCCAGTGTATCAACATACGTATCCTGACTTGATCAGTATATTGACATACGTATCCTGTCTTGACCAGTGTATCGACATACGTATCCTGTCTTGACCAGTGTATCGACATACGTATCCAGTCTTGACCAGTGTATCAACATACGTATCCTGTCTTGATCAGTATATCGACATACGTATCCTGTCTTGACCAGTGTATCGACATCCGTATCCTGATTTGACCAGTGTATCGGCATACGTATCCTGTCTTGATCAGTATATCGACATACGTATCCTGTCTCGACCAGTGTATCGACATACGTATCCTGTCTTTACGAGTGTATCGGCATACGTATCCTGTCTTGACCAGTGTATCGGCATACGTATCCTGTCTTGATCAGTATATCGACATACGTATCCTGTCTTGACCAGTGTATCGACATACGTATCCAGTCTTAACCAGTGTATCAACATACGTATCCTGTCTTGATCAGTATATCGACATACGTATCCTGTCTTGACCAGTGTATCGACATACGTATCCTGTCTTGACCAGTGTATCGACATACGTATCCAGTCTTGACCAGTGTATCAACATACGTATCCCGTCTTGATCAGTATATCGACATACGTATCCTGTCTTGACCAGTGTATCGACATACGTATCCTGTCTTGACCAGTGTATGGACATACGTATCCAGTCTTGACCAGTGTATCAACATACGTATCCTGTCTTGACCAGTATATCGACATACGTATCCTGTCTTGACCAGTGTATCGACATACGTATCCTGTCTTGACCAGTGTATGGACATACGTATCCTGTCTTGATCAGTATATCGACATACGTATCCTGTCTTGACCAGTGTATCGACATACGTATCCTGTCTTTACGAGTGTATCGGCATACGTATCCTGTCTTGACCAGTGTATCGGCATACGTATCCTGTCTTGATCAGTATATCGACATACGTATCCTGTCTTGACCAGTGTATCGACATACGTATCCTGTCTTGATCAGTATATCGACATACGTATCCAGTCTTGATCAGTGTATCGACATACGTATCCTGTCTTTGCGAGTGTATCGGCATACGTATCCTGTCTTGACCAGTGTATCGGCATACGTATCCTGTCTTTACGAGTGTATCGACAAACGTATCTAGTCTTTACCAGTGTATCGACATACGTTTTATCTTGACCAGTGTATCGGCATATGTAACCTGCCTTTACCAGTGTATCGACATACGTATCCAGTCTTGACCAGTGTATCGACATACGTATCCAGTCTTGACCAGTGTATCGACATCCGTATCCTGTCTTGACCAGTGTATCGACATCCGTATCCTGATTTGACCAGTGTATTGGCATACGTATCCTCTCTTTACGAGTGTATCGACATACGTATCTAGCCTTGACCAGTGTATCGATATACGTATCCTGTCTTTACCAGTGTATCGACATACGTATCCTGTCTTGACCAGTGTATCGACATACGTATCCAGTCTTGACCAGTGTATCGACATACGTATCCAGTCTTTACCAGTAAATCGACATACGTATCCAGTCTTTACCAGTAAATCGACATACGTATCCAGTCTTGACCAGTGTATCGACATACGTATCCTGTCTTGACCAGTGTATCGACATACGTACCAAATCTTGACCAGTGTATCGGCTCATGTAACCTGTCTTTACCAGTGTATCGACATACGTATCCAGTCTTGACCAGTGTATCGACAAACGTATCCAGTCTTTACCAGTAAATCGACATACGTATCCAGTCTTTACCAGTGTATCGACATATGTATCCTGTCTTGACCAGTGTATCGACATACGTATCCAGTCTTGACCAGTGTATCAACATACGTATCCTGTCTTGATCAGTATATCGACATACGTATCCTGTCTTGACCAGTGTATCGACATACGTATCCTGTCTTGACCAGTGTATCGACATACGTATCCAGTCTTGACCAGTGTATCAACATACGTATCCCGTCTTGATCAGTATATCGACATACGTATCCTGTCTTGACCAGTGTATCGACATACGTATCCTGTCTTGACCAGTGTATGGACATACGTATCCAGTCTTGACCAGTGTATCAACATACGTATCCTGTCTTGACCAGTATATCGACATACGTATCCTGTCTTGACCAGTGTATCGACATACGTATCCTGTCTTGACCAGTGTATGGACATACGTATCCTGTCTTGATCAGTATATCGACATACGTATCCTGTCTTGACCAGTGTATCGACATACGTATCCTGTCTTTACGAGTGTATCGGCATACGTATCCTGTCTTGACCAGTGTATCGGCATACGTATCCTGTCTTGATCAGTATATCGACATACGTATCCTGTCTTGACCAGTGTATCGACATACGTATCCTGTCTTGATCAGTATATCGACATACGTATCCAGTCTTGACCAGTGTATCGACATACGTATCCTGTCTTTGCGAGTGTATCGGCATACGTATCCTGTCTTGACCAGTGTATCGGCATACGTATCCTGTCTTTACGAGTGTATCGACATACGTATCTAGTCTTTACCAGTGTATCGACATACGTTTTATCTTGACCAGTGTATCGGCATATGTAACCTGCCTTTACCAGTGTATCGACATACGTATCCAGTCTTGACCAGTGTATCGACATACGTATCCAGTCTTGACCAGTGTATCGACATCCGTATCCTGTCTTGACCAGTGTATCGACATCCGTATCCTGATTTGACCAGTGTATTGGCATACGTATCCTCTCTTTACGAGTGTATCGACATACGTATCTAGCCTTGACCAGTGTATCGATATACGTATCCTGTCTTTACCAGTGTATCGACATACGTATCCTGTCTTGACCAGTGTATCGACATACGTATCCAGTCTTGACCAGTGTATCGACATACGTATCCAGTCTTTACCAGTAAATCGACATACGTATCCAGTCTTTACCAGTAAATCGACATACGTATCCAGTCTTGACCAGTGTATCGACATACGTATCCTGTCTTGACCAGTGTATCGACATACGTACCAAATCTTGACCAGTGTATCGGCTCATGTAACCTGTCTTTACCAGTGTATCGACATACGTATCCAGTCTTGACCAGTGTATCGACATACGTATCCAGTCTTTACCAGTAAATCGACATACGTATCCAGTCTTTACCAGTGTATCGACATACGTATCCTGTCTTGACCAGTGTATCGACATACGTGTCCAGCCTTGACCAGTGTATCGGCATATGTAACCTGTCTTTACCAGTGTATCGACATACGTATCCAGTCTTTACCAGTGTATCGACATACGTATCCAGTCTTGACCAGTGTATCGACATACGTATCCTGTCTCGACCAGTATTTCGACATACGTATCCTGTCTTTACGAGTGTATCGACATACGTATCCAGTCTTTACCAGTGTATCGACATACGTATCCAGTCTTTACCAGTGTATCGACATACGTATCCAGTCTTTACCAGTGTATCGACATACGTATCCTGTCTTGACCAGTGTATCGACATACGTATCCTGTCTTGACCAGTGTTTCGACATACGTATCCTGTCTTTACGAGTGTATCGACATACGTATCCAGTCTTTACCAGTGTATCGACATACGTATCCAGTCTTTACCAGTGTATCGACATACGTACCAAGTCTTGACCAGTGTATCGACATACGTATCCTGTCTTGACCAGTGTATCGACATACGTATCCTGTCTTGACCACTGTATTGGCATACGTATCCAGTCTTGACCAGTGTATTGGCATACGTATCCAGTTTTGACCAGTGTATCGACATACGTATCCTGTCTTGACAAGTGTATTGGCATACGTATCCAGTTTTGACCAGTGTATCGACATACGTATCCTGTCTTGACAAGTGTATCGACATACGTATCCTGTCTTGACCAGTATATCGACATACGTATCCAGTCTTGACTAGTGTAATGCCATACGCACGTATCGTGATCAGCGTATCGAGATACGAATAGTATTGTGGCCTTTTGTATCTTTGCAGCCCTACGTGGAGGAAGACATGATATTGAAAATAGCGTGATTAAATAAATAAAGAAATAAAGAAAGAAAGAAACAATATGATGTAATAATGTAGTCAGATGTTGAGAAGAATTTGAAGTTTTTACTTATGTTGTGTTTCAGACTGATGAAGTTCGTCTCGCGAGACATCACGAAAACAGTGAGACTTGACGTGATCAATGCCAGCTGTACGCCAGACTGCTTCAATGTCACTCAAGGTCAGTCGTCTTGGGCTCTCTTTCTACACTGCTGAACATAAAATGTACTTTTTTTAAACAGGCTATAGCTTTCTCGATTGAACAACGATTTCCTTTGATGTGGTAGACATCGTCCTTACACAGAGGTTGTAAATGATATGAACGTACAAAGTAGCTCCGTAGTCTGGCTACACATATTCCTCATGCACAGTTACCTCCCTTGTTCTGTCAGAATCCTCGACTCAACAATTATGATCCATGGCCTGAAAGCAGTATATTCTTTTGGTAAGTTAACACGCCATGAATCAACTCACTCACAGACTGCCGTACACTCACACACTGACATACACTCACACAGATGACATCCTTACCATGTCCGCGAGCTTGCGGAGTTCATGGATCCTAATAGTTCTTAATAAGTACTTAATGTTTCACCCCACTCAGGGACCCCTGATGGTAAACAACTGATGGGGATGGATGCTGATAACACAACGGTATATCGCAGCACGGGGCCAGTCATCTACATCAACAACCTCACAGACCAATCAGAAGACAAACTTCTTCTTCGCGTGACGTCACTAGGTAATACTTGTCGATTCCCAAATTGAAACGATATGTTGACCCAGAAACCTGTTCGTAAAAGAATTTAGTGTGAAAACAGCAAACAAACAACAAATGGTACACATTCAACAATTGTGTTACAAAATTAACTAGCTTTACATTTCAATATAAATTACTGCCTAGCAATTTCAAAGGCAGTACACAATAGAGTGCTAGTTCAATAATAGATGGCAGTATAAAATGTGAGAGCAGTGGAAATAACAATGACAAGAATAAATAATAATCACCTCGTTGAAACAGTGGGCAAGTTTCCGAAATAGGCCTGGGCTGAACACCAGCTTAAAAAGTGATCTTCACACGAACGCTGGTCTTGATGTAATGTTAGATGAAGTGTGAGATGAAGTGTGATATGACAGGCACGCGCCAGCTCCACTTATATAGTCTAACTGGCTTCCAGCACTTTCAACACAGTGCTAGACTAGTCCGGTGTCACTTGAACACCAAAAAATATTCCACATGTTTTATATAACGTTTGACATCCACCCATGCTATTCTGGAAGTTTACAGATAATTCGAGCATCTAAATATAACAATTTCCTCATAACTGCTTACATTAAATAGTCCGACATTCCTGACAACTAATCGTTGTCCAAATACAACGCAATGAACTTCTACTGAATCTCAACAGAAACAATTCAAATACAGTTACAATCATTGTTTTACAACAAATTACACATATAACAGTAAATGTAGACTATCAGTACGCTGGGCATTACATCACTCTCCAGTACAATATACATTGTATACACAATACACTGTAAACACGTTGTACACCATACCACCACTGTGACCCTCCCTTCCAGGTGACCCGTGAAGATCCGAGGTAGAATAGATCTTCAGCAACCCATGGTTGCCGTAAAAGGCGACTATGCTTTTCGTGAGAGGCGACTAACGGGATCGGGCGGTCAGGCTCGCTGACTTGGTTGAAACATGTCATCGATCCCAATTGCGTGGATCGATGCTCATGGTAGCAATCACTGGATTGTCTTGTCCAGACTCGATTATTTACAGACCACCGTCATATAGCTGGAACCAACCCTAACAGGTGTTGAGTGGTTGAGTTTAATTCCCTAAAATTCCTTTTACAAACGAGACATGTTAATCACGAAGCAAACGATGGTCAAATAAATGTCCATTGTCATGTCATGTGATTGGTTGCTCGAACGGCAACCGTGGTTGCCATAGTCACAGGAATGTCGGGATTCCGGATTAGAATATGGGTCCCCGGTGATCCATGTCTGTGAGGATGGATCGGGGGGAGGGATCGGTGACCTGGTTCATAGACGTCATCGTACACCGACGGCAGTGATCGCTGACCATTATATCGCTAGATTATTTACAGACAGACGTCATGTTGGTTGGTTGGTTGGTTGGTTGTTTAACGCCGCACTCAGCAATATTACAGCTATATGACGGCGGTCTGTAAATAATCGAGTCTGGACCAGACAATCCAGTGATTAATATGAGCATCGATCCACACAATTGGGATCGATGACATGCATCAACCAAGTCAGCGAGCCTGACCACCCGATCCCGTTAGTCGCCTTTTACGACAAGCATAGTCACCTTTTACGGCAAGCATGGGTTGCTGAAGACCAATTCTACCCCGGAATCTTCACGGGTCGACAGACGTCATGTAGCTGGAATATTGCTGAACGAAGCGTCAAACAACCAACACTCAAACAAATCATACTGGAGCGGCGTAAAACTCAACTCATTCACTCGTGTTCCAGAGCGGGCGTGTAACGGCGGCGTGATGATGGTGAAGGCCTCTGATAACGAAGCCCTAACGTCAGTGCTTGACATGGCCGCTTGTAAATAGTGAGTAGTCTACGAGGGGTGTCTTGTAAAAAGTGAGTGTTCAGTAGACTACGAGAGATGTCCTGTAAATGGTGAGTGTTCAGTAGACTACGAGGGGTGTCCTGTAAATGGTGAGTGTTCAGTAGACTACGAGGGGTGTCCTGTAAAAAGTGTGTGTTCAGTAGACTACGAGGGGTGTCCTGTAAATAGTGCGTGTTCAGTGGACCATGAGGGGTGTCTTGTGTAAATAGTGTGTGTTCAGTGAACTACGAGGGGTGTCTTGTAAATAGTGAGTGTTCAGTAGACTACGAGGGGTGTCCTGTAAAAAGTGTGTGTTCAGTAGACTACGAGGGGTGTCCTGTAAATAGTGTGTGTTCAGTAGACTACGAGGGGTGTCTTGTAAATAGTGAGTGTTCAGTAGACTACGAGGGGTGTCCTGTAAATGGTGAGTGTTCAGTAGACTACGAGGAGTGTCCAGTAAATAGTGCGTGTTCAGTAGACTACGAGGGGTGTCTTGTAAATAGTGCGTGTTCAGTGGACTACGAGGGGTGTCTTGTAAATAGTGTGTGTTCAGTGAACTACGAGGGGTGTCTTGTAAATAGTGCGTGTTCAGTGGACTACGAGGGGTGTCCTGTAAATTGTGCGTGTTCAGTAGACTACGAGGGGTGTCTTGTAAATAGTGAGTGTTCAGTAGACTACGAGGGGTGTCTTGTAAATAGTGCGTGTTCAGTAGACTACGAGGGGTGTCTTGTAAATAGTGAGTGTTCAGTAGACTACGAGGGGTGTCCTGTAAATAGTGTGTGTTCAGTAGACTACGATGAGTGTCTTGTAATAAGTGTGTGTTCAGTAGACTACGAGGGGTGTCTTGTAAATAGTGCGTGTTCAGTAGACTACGATGAGTGTCTTGTAATAAGTGTGTGTTCAGTAGACTACGAGGGGTGTCTTGTAAATAGTGTGTGTTCAGTAGACTACGAGGGGTGTCCTGTAAATAGTGAGTGTTCAGTAGACTACGATGAGTGTCTTGTAATAAGTGTGTGTTCAGTAGACTACGAGGGGTGTCTTGTAAATAGTGTGTGTTCAGTAGACTACGAGGGGTGTCCTGTAAATAGTGTGTGTTCAGTAGACTACGATGAGTGTCTTGTAAATAGTGAGTGTTCAGTAGACTACGAGGGGTGTCCTGTAAAAAGGGTGTGTTCAGTAGACTACGAGGGGTGTCCTGTAAATAGTGTGTGTTCAGTAGACTACGAGGGGTGTCCTGTAAATAGTGTGTGTTCAGTGAACTACGAGGGGTGTCTTGTAAATAGTGCGTGTTCAGTAGACTACGAGGGGTGTCCTGTAAATAGTGTGTGTTCAGTAGACTACGAGGGGTGTCCTGTAAATAGTGTGTGTTCAGTAGACTACGAGGGGTGTCTTGTAAATAGTGAGTGTTCAGTAGACTACGAGGGGTGTCCTGTAAATGGTGAGTGTTCAGTAGACTACGAGGAGTGTCCTGTAAATAGTGCGTGTTCAGTAGACTACGAGGGGTGTCTTGTAAATAGTGCGTGTTCATTGGACTACGAGGGGTGTCTTGTAAATAGTGTGTGTTCAGTGAACTACGAGGGGTGTCTTGTAAATAGTGCGTGTTCAGTAGACTACGAGGGGTGTCCTGTAAATTGTGCGTGTTCAGTAGACTACGAGGGGTGTCTTGTAAATAGTGCGTGTTCAGTAGACTACGAGGGGTGTCTTGTAAATAGTGCGTGTTCAGTAGACTACGAGGGGTGTCTTGTAAATAGTGAGTGTTCAGTAGACTACGAGGGGTGTCTTGTAAATAGTGTGTGTTCAGTGGACTACGAGGTGTGTCTTGTAAAAAGTGAGTTTTCAGTAGACTACGATGAGTGTCCTGTAAATAGTGTGTGTTCAGTGCACTACGAGGGGTGTCCTGTAAATAGTGCGTGTTCAGTAGACTACGAGGGGTGTCTTGTAAATAGTGCGTGTTCAGTAGACTACGAGGGGTGGCTGAACCGGGATTCGAACCCACAATCATAGGTTTCTGGTGTGCCCAAGGGACGCAACTCTGCACAGCGAATCGCGGCGCCTTAGACGACTGGGCCCCACGTACCCCCACTGGTGTTTACAGATCTCCACCCTACAGCTTGAACATTACTGAGTGCGGCGTTAAGCAACAACTTAACATACTATTACGGTAAAGTGATACTACAAGTCCACAACATGAGATGATGTTTATCTCTGAAAACTTTCAACCACGCCTTGTCTCCCTAGTAACGGCTACTTCATCTACAACATCACGACAGACCACCTTGACCACATCGTCCATCTGAAGTTGACCCGCAACCTCTTCAACACCACGTCTTCAGACAAGGAGTGTAAACACAGCTACATCCATATATTTGACGGTAAAATCACGCTTTATCATATATCTTTTCTCAGCCTGTTAACCTATGAATGTGTTTCTCTAGATATCGGCGAGCTCAGTCCCATTGAGCTCGTACATATAAGCAGCGTATTTGCGTAAAATACCTCCCCCCCCCCAAAAAAAATAAATAAATAAATAAATAAATAAATAAAAAAAATAAAAAATAAAATACAAATAATAATAATAATAATAATAATAATAATAATAATAATAATAATAATAATAATAAATAAAAAATATAAATAAATAAATAAATAAATGAATAAATAAATAAATAAATAACATTTTAAAAAAAGAAGAAGAAATATTCAAAACCCAATTACTTTCAATTATCTTGCGTACAGAAACGCATGCATTAAATGAAAAACTCAAATGTATAAAAACAGCACGCGTAAATACCCAGTGAAGCTTTTTCGGCATGGATACAAAGGAGCTAATTTCCGAAACACAATTACGAGCTAATTTACTTTCAGAGTCCAGCCTATATATTTAGAACAGCTAAATACATCTGAAACATTATTTCACTTTTTATTTTAAATCTTAAAATGTTCACTTAGTTTGGGGAAACCCCAATAGAGTGATGAATAGATGAGTGACAAAATATTCGTTACCAAATGAAAAACTTAATAACCCAATTAAAATAGAAACCCTAGAGTAAAAACTCAATTGCTCAAAAGGTTATCTGGAGCTCTGGTTATTATTAAAGAAATAACTTAAAAAACGCGAAGAATGAAAAAGACAACTGTCAGCTACAGCTAGTAGTGCATGTGATACATCAGCTGGATTCCCGGGGACTTATAATTCAGCACTGTGGGTATATGCTATACGTGAACTTACCGCGTCATTCGTCACCACTCTCCCCTTTCCGTAACCTGCAAGAAGACTCGTCCCCCTATCGATGAATGTTATGTGCGAAAATACGACAAACCAATCAGAATGCGCGTATGATTTCAAGTTCTTCGTCAAAGAATCCCTCTGAAATAATTTTTTATTTTACATATGTCTTGCATCTAAAAATATACCCAAGACACAGTTAAATGTGTTCGGTCATACTGTATATAATTTCCGCATGTGACGATGTGCTTTTAATTGCATCTGAAATATATATAATATATCTGAAATCTATGTGAACCATAAGTTGACAATTATTAAAATATTTTAGGTATCCCCGTTCGTGCTAAGACGGAACCCGGTCGCAAAAATGGCCATGAGAGTGGAACGAGTCGCTATTCGGTTTGTCCCGGAATAACACGAGTTGGTCACGAATGCCTACCGCGCGGATCTTGCTATGACGATTACTAAGACGCCATTCGTGACCAACTCGTCCCTTTCCGGGCAATGCCGAATGTAGAGAGATCGAGTGCCTCCGAATAAAACCCCTTTGTTGGAGGTTACGGAAACATGCGAGTGGTGACAAACGCCAAGACGCAAAGCAAGAAGTACCATTCGAAGGTCACTCACAAGCTCCTTCCCAGCGCGTGACACCTTCGTTAAACTCTCGGTAACATCGCTGCCAACAGTGTGGGCGCGGCCATTACAAGAATCTTGAAATTTGGCCTCTAGCCCCAAATGTAGTAACGTTCATACTTTTGTTTATGTCTTTGGGAATGCCATCATAGTTAATTTTGAAAAGGTTTACGACTGACCATGTTTTCCATATGAATTTACTTTGTTGTTTGTATAATCAGATTGGTTCGAGATTGCAGACTAACGGAAAATCAACCAACTTCTCCCTTACATTCTTATTATATCAATAACATGATAGTTTTAATGAAATAGAAATTCAAATGGACAAACAAAGAAAGTAATTTAGCACGGGTAAGTGTATTCGGCGTCACGACAGTCGGATTGTTTGTAAACATAACGGTTATTCGGTTGCGAGTTCAACTCCAAGCACGGTTAGGGCCACGTATCACAGTTGGGAGTTTTGACTGGTGGCAGCGATAGTATAGAGAGCTCCGTGAACGGGCTATCGCTGTGAGGAGCCGGGGTCACTCATTGATATGGGAGGTCACTCCATTACACGAACTGCCGTGGACCGCTAAAAGAAAAGAACTGACCACACCAACAGTTCGCTCACTATCGTAGGAGCGACTGATTCTACTGCAACTATCACCATCATAAATAAACTTACATGATCTACTGCCACAAAACAGCACATAGCTCATCAACACAGTTGAAAAAAATTCATACTCTTGAAGTCGCTTCCTGTGTCTATCCGAAAGACTGTTTTAAAGCACTTCTCGAATGGTATGGATCTGGTTTAAACTACCATGTTTGAATGAATGTTTGAAGACTTGACAGCTGGTTTTCTTACAGGTGACCCCGGCTCGCGTTTGTTACTGAGGTGGTGCTGGAAAAGTCATTCCACGGTCACTGTCAGGGGAGACAAGAGTTATCTCACCTTTGTGGTGGCGACATCTTACGGCGATTACCCTGGTCCTTTAACAGTGACACATTTTTCTTTAAGAAGTGAGTAATACACATTTTATACAACAGGAAAAGATTTTCATACACGCGTACTTGTCGTGTGATATTGCCGGGAGAGACTCGTCTTCCCAGATTACTGACAAAATGTTGAGTATCCAGACTAGAGCGAGAATGGCGGTCGCCTCCGTGAGGTGAGGTGAGGTGAAATTGGGTTTAACGTCGCGTCCAAGATTACTGCACTTATATAGCGACGTGCATGTACGTGTGTGTGTTTGTGTGGCTGCTTGTACTAGTCCGGACTGATGCCGATTTATAGTGCTAGCCCAATGAGATACCATGCCGCAGTTTAACATGAATACCCCACTCAGACACAGTATACTGACTCCGAGCCGACCAGTCCTTGTTTTAGCACCTTAATGCCGAGCGCCAGACAGGGTAGCAACGAGTACCATCTTTTAACGTCTTTTGGTATGACACGGCCGGGGATCGAACCCCGGACTTTCCGCTCTCCAGGTGGACGCTCTACCACTAGACCACGGAGGCGGTCCGGTCGCCTCCGTTGTGAAGTGAATGCTTTAACCACTACGCAACGGAGGCGAACGCCATTCTTGTTTGTCTTGTTTGTTTGCCAGGCGGGGGGAAGGTCGGTGGTTCGATCCCCGGCGGTGTCATACCAAAAGGGGACACGGGTAGCCCAGTCGTCTAAGGCGCCGCGATTCGCTGTGCAGAGTTGCGTCCCTTGGGCACGCCAGAAACCTATGGTTGTGGGTTCGAATCCCTGTTCGCCCCGATGATGTTTCTAGGTTTGTCAGCACCATACCCGTGCTCGTGGGTTTCACCGAAGTGCTAAACGTCTGAGACCTGCATCACTTCGGGCTTTCCTTCCACATTAGTCTGACACGCCGTGATATGACTGGAATACTGTTAAAAGCGGTGTTAAACCCAACTCACTCACTCATACCAAAAGACTTTAATAGATGCTACCTCTTGTTTCGGCATGAAGGGGATCAAACAAGGACTGGTCAGGTGAGCCGCCAGATACTTACACTGGTGAGATCATTTCCCCCTGTTAACCTCTATATTATATCTCACCAGTGGAAGTTTCTGGCGGCCGCCAGATAAAATATAGCGGCATACAGTGAAAAATGATCTCACCAGTGGCGGGTATGGGCCACCGTACTTAGCCAATTTAGTGTTAAAACAATCTCATATAAGATCTATGAGTAACATGTGATATCACGTGATTGATTGCCACTGACCTTACTTCCTGTCCAGAAATGTCTATGTGCAAACCGGGCCTGGTCGATCTGAAAGCATCAGCGGATATAACGAAATACCTTCACTCGCCCAACTTCCCGGGCCCCTACGCTGTGTAAGTATCCTGGCCTTCACTCGCCCAACTTCCCGGGCCCCTACGCTGTGTAAGTATACTGGCCTTCACTCGCCCAACTTCCCGGGCCTCTACGCTGTGTAAGTATCCTGGCCTTCACTCGCACAACTTCCCGGGCCTCTACGCTGTGTAAGTATCCTGGCCTCCACTCGCCCAACTTCCCTGGCCCCTACGCTGTGTAAGTATCCTGGCCTTCACTCGCCCAACTTCCCTGGCCCCTACGCTGTGTAAGTATCCTAGCCTCCACGCTTTGTCACTCTCCTTCCCAGAGTCCCGTGCGGTCAAAGTTGTTACCCTGTCACAGGCCATTGAGATTTAATGCCCCGTCATATCTTACATATGTCTGTTTAACATATGCTTGTTGTGGACTTAGGGGCGGTCGGGTAGCCTAGTGGATAAAGCGTTCGCTCGTCACGCCGAAGACCCGGGTTCGATTCCCGACATGGGTACAATGTGTGAAGCCCATTTCTGGTGTCCCCCGCCGTGATATTGCTGGAATATTGCTAAAAGCGGCGTAAAACCATAATCAGTCAGTCAGTCAGTTGTTGTGGACTTGGGTGGCCCAGGCGTCTAAGGCGCATTTCACTTTGCAAAGTTGCGTCCCTTAGAAACCTATGATAATGTGTTCGAATCCCAAATCGCTCTGATTAATTGTTAGTTTCTTGGTTTGTCCGCACCATGACCTTGCTGCAAGTAAACGTCGGAGGTCTGCATCACTTTCGTCTTTCCTCTCAAATATCATAATAAACATTATGCAGAGTTAGGTCCCTTGGGCACACCAGGATCCTGTTATCGTAGGCTCGAATCCTATGTGTCTGGGTCTGAAAGGACCATATCCGTTCTCGTGGGTTTCACCAACGTGGTAAACGTCTACGAAGTGCATCACTTCGGTCTCTGTACGCGACTCCGACGGTGACAATTACTTCTGTGTCGGCAGCAACAACGACTGCACCTGGAGGATCTCGGCCCCGAGAATCAACTACGTGGTCATTGTGAACGTGGTCAAGTCCGACCTCCCCGACGACTGCAGTGACTTGGTGTACGTCATCTACGGTGGGTAAATCAAAGACCAGCGAGTCGTGCAGAGTTGTGTCCCTTAGTCCTGCCAGGGTCCGATGATCGTGAGTTCGAATCTGAGATTCGCCTCGATTCTGATCCTCAGTCTGAATTCTGATCTTATTACTCATAGGTTTCACAAAAGGGAATATTGATCAAAGCGGTGTGAACCAATTTCACTCATTATCTAATACCACAATATCAAATAAAATTAAATCAGTCACAAAATATAGGATAGTCAATCTCATTAAAATCAGATCTAAGTTCTCACTACCGCTAAACATAGATCTGAAGACATCCCTTTAGGGGTCACGTCAGAACGACCTTTCATCCGACCAATCAGTGCGTCGCTTACCAGATTATGAAAGTGACAGTCGGAATCTGATTTCTAATCATGCAATCTCGAAAACTTTAACATTGGGTATTCCGAAAGATAGTTACGGGTTTAACGACTGAATCCTTACAATCTATTAGCCATCCCAGAATGTTTTTTGTTCAGGTTTCAAATTTGTAATCAAGAATTTGTCAAAATATGTTTCGAAGGGTAGTCGTCAATTTGAAATTAGTGCCGTAAAGCACAAGAAAGCTGCCTTCTGATTGACCATTCCAAGGTCGTTCTGACGTGACCCGCAATGGGATGTCCTCAGATCTTTGTTTAGCGGTAGCGAGAACTAAGATCTGATTTTAATGAGATTGATAGGAAGGTCAACATACGTTTTGTTTGCGTTTGTTTGAAGACCTGGGATCAATGGGTGAAGCCACTCACTGACTGTTACGTGACATAGGTTTCAAACCATACTCATTCACTCACTCACTCAAACAGAGGACTGAGTGAGTTAAAATTTAACGTCTCATCGGCATTGATTCAATCTATCTAATCTATCTAATCTATCTATCTATCTATCTATCTTATCTATCTAATCTATCTAATCTATCAATCGATCTATCTATCTATCTATCTATCTATCTAATCTATCTATCTATCTTATCTATCTAATCTATCTATCTAATTTATTTAATCTATCTCATCTAATCTATCTAATGTATATATTTATCTAATCTATCTATCTATCTTATATATCTAATCTATCTATCTAATTTATCTAATCTGTCTCATCTAATCTATCTATCTATCTTATCTATCTAATCTATCTATCTAATTTATCTAATCTGTCTCATCTAATCTATCTTATCTATCTTATTTATCTATCTATCTATCTATCTATCTATCTATCTATCTATCTATCTAATCTATCTATCTAATCTCTCTATCTAATCTATCTATCTAATTTATCTAATCTGTCTCATCTTATCTATCTATCTAATCTATCTATCTAATTTATCTAATCTGTCTCATCCTATCTATCTATCTATCTATCTATCTATCTATCTATCTATCTATCTATCTATCTATCTATCTATCTATCTATCTATCTATCTATCTATCTATCTATCTATCTATCTATCTATCTATCTATCTATCTATCTATCTATCTATCTATCTATCTATCTATCTATCTATCTATCTATCTATCTATCTATTCAACATGTTCCAGGGCTCTATCCCACGGACAAGGCATCTGGTCGTTTGTGTGGACAGGACAGGGGTAATTTCAGGAGCGTCGGGCCTTTCCTCGTGCTCCGATTCACCAGCAATTCGCTCGGCAACAGATCTGGCTTCAAGATCACTTACACCACAGAACACAGGACGGGCGGCCAGCGGAGTAAGTAGCCAGTTACCTCCCCTTCCCCGACCGATAAAATAATTCACGGAGCCAGTCCACAGAGTAGTATATTTGTTTGTTTGTTTGTTTGTTTGTTGTTAAACGTCGCACTCAGCAGTATTCTAGCTATATGAAGGCGGTCTGTAAATAATCGAGTCTGGACGAGACAATCCAGTGATTGACATCATGAGCATCGATCCATGCAATTGGAATCGATGACATGCATCAAGCAACTAATCAACTAATCACGTGACATGACAATGGACATTTATTTGACCATCGTTTGCTTCGTGATTAACATGTCTCGTTCGTAAAACGAATTTTAGGGAATTAAACTCAACCACTCAACACCTGTTAGGGTTGGTTCCAGCTATATGACGGTGGTCTGTAAATAATCGAGTCTGGATCAGACAATCCAGTGATTGCTATCATGAGCATCGATCCACGCAATTGGGATCAATGATATGTTTCAACCATGTCAGCGAGCCTGACCACCCGATCCCGTTAGTCGCCTATTACGACAAGCATAGTCGCCTTTTACGGCAAGCATGGGTTGCTGAAGACCTATTCTACCCCGGATCTTCACGGGTCCCACAGAGTAGTGGGGCTACTTACGTGGAGATTGGGTGAACAATATGGCTGCGGGTGACGGTTGAGGCTGATTATCTGTGAGCGACAAAATTCAGCACTGACCAGGCTAGATTCCGGAATTGAGCCATTGGTGGTTTGGTATTGTTCTAGCGCATCTGTGCCCACTTTTTTCTGGATCGCACTCACCTGCTTTCCGACTCACTCACTCACTCACTTGTAAACACTCTGCACCTACCAACCCAAATCCGACCCACTAACCCACCCAACTACCCAATCAATCAAACCCGTGAAGATCCTTGTTAGATAGTCTTCAGCAACCCATGCTTGCCGTAAAAGGCGTCTATGCTTGTCGTAAGCGGATCGGGTGGTCAGGCTCGCTGACTTGGTTGATGCATGTCATGGTATCTCAGTTGAGTAGATCGATGTTCATGATGTCAATCACTGGATTGTGTGGTCCAGACTCGATTATTTACAGACCGCCGTCATATAGCTGGAATATTGCTGAGTGCGGCGTTAAATAACAAACAAACCAAACAAATCCAGCTCACTGCAATTAATACACCACTGTCGCCGCATATCTTTAAACATACTCAGTGGAGATTACATCATGTTGCCTTGATGGAATACATTTTTTACGGAGCCCTTCTAAACAATCATGCTGCATGTGAATCACATCCGTTAACAGGAACATTTTTGTTAATAAAATATTAAAAAAACATTATCGATTATTTACAGACCGGCGTCATATAGCCAAAATGTTGCTGAGTACGGCGTTCAACAACAAACAAACAAAAACTCAATCAATCACCCGTGCATTATGACTCTGATGTTTGTTTTCAGCCGAGGGTGGTCCGCCGGTGGGGATTATAGCAGGTGCGTGCATCGCGATCTTTGTCGTCGCCGGTGTCATCTACGTCTGCATAAACGAACAACGTAAGCGTCACAAGATGGCGAGACAAGAGATAGAAGGCGGGACGTATTAACGTCATGTTGAAACATCCAACGCTCTACTAACATCATCCACACGGGCCACCATTCTGAAACTGTTCAGCCCTGAATATACTTTGATGTGAATGTGGGTCGTTTCTATGTTTGTCAGCACCATATCCCCGCCCGAGGGTAATCGTTTAAGGCCTGAACCACTCCGGGCTTTTTTACCATATCCGGCTTTTTTAACCACATCCGGCTTTTTTACGACATCAACCTGACAAGCCATGGTTTGACACAAATGCTTTTCAAAGTAGCGTTAAAACTAATCCACTCGCTCGCTTCCTCCCTTACTAACGTACGTACATGTCGTAATAGCCTATTGGTTGATTACTGCAAAGACTCGTTAGAAAATATCAGGTGGCACGGGTGGCCCAGTCATCTAAGGCGCCGCGATTCGCTGTGCAGAGTTGCGTCCCTTGGGCACGCCAGAAACCTATGATTGTGGGTTCGAATCCCGGTTCGCCCAAATTATGTTTCTAGGTTTGTCAGCACCATACCCGTGCTCGTGGGTTTCACCGAAGTGATAAACGTCTGGGACCTGCATCACTTCGGGCTTTCCTCCCACATTAAGCTGACACGCCGCGATATAACTGGAATAATGTTAAAAGCGGCGTTAAACCCAACTCACTCACTCACTCGTTAGAAAATATCAGGGATCTTCGAGTAACCACACGGTGTGACGTATTGCCGTTATATTTGTTTGCGGAATGCTGGGAGTGATGTCGGGCACTAATGCTCTTGTTTAGCTGTCTGCATATTGCTGAGTGCGGCGTAAAACAACATATACACACACTACATGGGAATTGCGTGGCAGGACTGTGACTTGCGGTCATCGTATCCAGTGGACAATATTTACAGCTCCCGTGGTCTGAATGGAATGTTGCGGCGTTAAACAACATTCACTCACTCACTCTTGTTTATTGCGGCTCGTACTCACAATAAAACAAAATAGCTAAAGCTCAACATAAGCGATAGTACATCGGGAAGTAAGCCAAGTCATCCTTGTTAGCATTCGTGACCAACTCGTGATATTCCGGGACAAGCCGAATAGCGACTCGTGCCCCTCTCGTGGCCATTTTTGCGACCGGGTTCCGTCTTTGCGCAAACGGGCATACCTAAAACAATTGTCAACTCGTTGCGTAATGGTTCACACATTTTCCCCATATATTATATATATTTTCAGATGCAATTTAAAGCACATCGGGACGTGCGGAATTTTACAGTATGATTGACCACATTTAACTGTGTCTTGGGTATATTTTTAGATGCAAGACATATGTAAAATCAAAAATTATTTCTGAGGGATTCTTTGACGAAGAACTTGAAATCATACGCGCATTCTGATTGGTTCGTATTTTCGCATATAACATTCATCGATAGGGGGACGAGTCTTCTTGCAGGTGACGGAAAGGGGCGAGTGGTGACGAATGCCTTGTTAGAACCTTTCTGAGAGATAATTCCAGCTGAACAATTAGAGTTCTGTCTACTGCTTAACATACTTAAGAAAATCACGACCAGACCCGATATATGTCAAAGTTAGAATATGCCATCGGAAGAGCTTCTGTGCGTTATCCACACTATCGCGTTATTCACACTAACGCGTTATTCACACTCACACTATAAACGACCCGTGAAGATTCCGGGGTAGAAAAGGTCTTCAGAAACCCATGCTTGCCGTAAAAGGTGACTATGCTTGTCGTAAAAGGCGACTAACGGGATCGGGTGGTCAGACTCGCTGACTTGGTTGATGCATGTCATCGATCCCAATTGCGTGGATCGATGATCATGATATCAATCACTAGATTGTCTGGTCCAGACTCGATTATTTACGGACCGCCGTCATGTTGCTGTAATATTGCTGAGTGCGGCGTTAAACAACAAACTAACCAACCAACCAACCACACTATAAACATTTGTTATTAACAAAGATATGTAAAGACAAAAGGCTGAAAAGGCTATATTTGGTAATTATACGCAGTGTTGTGATAATTTTTTTGCGGGAGCAACATAAAAATAATTGGATTTGGGGGATAACGTTTGTGTAGTTTACGCAAGTACGTAGCGTATCTGGCGCTGTAAGGGGCCCCAACAACAATAGTCCATCCATCGAGTGTTTGTTGTGAGGTCCAAACTCGATTATTTACCGGCAGCCTAGTCTGTCTTATAGACCCTGATACAACTATATCAAATACAGCCCATGCAAGTCTATAATGTTTGGCAAGTCTAGATTACTGCAGTATCCGAAAATGAAGAGTCCCTGGGCCCCCTTTTATTATATTTTTATTAAGATAATTGAACAACTGTTTTTTCTGTACCATATGTTAATTTCAGAGACTAGATGTTAGTCTACCGGCAGTCCTGTTATAGGAAGAACCGGGTTAGAATACGCCATCAGCAACCCATGCTTGTCGTTAGAGGCGACTAACGGGATCGGGTGGTGGTACATCTCATCGTGTCCCACGTGGGTAGAGCGATGCTCATGATATCAATCACTGGATTGTTTGGTCCAGACTCGATTATTTACAGACTGCCGCTGGAATATTGCTCAGTGCGGCGTCAAACAACTAACAAACAAACAAGGTTGAAGGTTGCGTGAAATAATATTTACCGTATTCGACGTAATAAGCGCCCGCTCTAATAAGCGCCCATGGCGATATTTGCTAATATATTGGCTGGTGAACAATCCAAATTAGCACCCTTCCAATTGATCAATGTACACAAGACTTATTTATTCGTGTATAATACGCACTCGTGTGTTATGTGCACCCTTAATTACGGGCAATTAAATTCTGGAAAAATATATCTGTCGTGTATAAATCGCACAGACTTTTTTGGGGTATCATTTCAGACTGTCGGCATAAACCACGAAATTTACGATCTTTCAACTCTTTCACCAAAATTATATTCTAATAAGAGCCCTCTATTTCTAATTTTGAGAGCGCCCTGGGCGCTTATTACGTCGAATACCTTATTCACTTAATGTTTTTTATGCCGGTATTTATGGTGGGAAGTATGTTTGAGTCTTTGAGAATCATTTTTCGAATTGTGCTCTAAACATTATTTTCTCTGAACGGAACCAAGGAAGTGTTTTCAGAGCATTGACGTGTTATTTATGTGTGTGAAACCTGAGAAATATATTTTTTACTATATTATATATTATATATTATTTTTTGATAATATTATATTAAATCCCCTGCTCGCAGTCACCTGACTGTACTGTTACCACGTGATCAAATCTCAATCGCTTCATCGCTAAGAAAATGGATATTTCTTGAAAAGCGCACATTGTATTTTATGTCATTACTGTAAGTAATATTGCTTATCGGCGGAATTGCCCGTTTTCCATTTATAAGTTTTAGAACACATGCAACTATCGTCGGTAATTAATAATCGCGATGTTCTGTGATTCTATTGTAAAGGGCGATTCGCTGTGAAGAGTTGCGTCCCTTGGGCACGCCAGAAACCTATGATTGTGGGTTCGAATCCCGGTTCTCCCCGATTATGTTTCTAGGTTTGTCAGCACCATACCCGTGCTTGTGGGTTTCACCGAAGTGGTAAACGTCTGAGACCTGCATCACTTCATGCTTTCCTCCCATATTAAGCTACACGCCGTGATATGACTGGAATACTGTTAAAAGCGGCGTTAAACCCAACTCACTCACTCACTCACTCACTATTGTAAATGGGGAGGACCATAAGAATTAATATGATGTATAAGTACTGAGGCTGGCACTTACAGAATTCCGATTTCATCTTCGCCCCGTGCAGATCCGGGGCAGAATACGTCTTCAGCAACCATGCTTGCCGTAAAAGGCGACTATGCTTGCCGTAAAAGGTGACTATGCTTGTCGTAAGAGACGACATACGGGATTGGGTTGTCAGGTTCGCTGACTTGGTTGATGCATGTCATCGTATCCCAATCGATGTTCATGATGTCAATCTGGTCCAGGCTTGATTATTTACAGACCGCCGTCATATAGCTGGAATATTGCTGAGTGCGGCGTTAAACAACAAACAAACCAAACAAATTCAGCTCACTGCAATTAATACACCACTGTCGCCGCATATCTTTAAACACACTCATTGGAGATTACATCATGTTGCCTTGATGGAATACACTTTTTACGGAGCCCTTCTAAACAATCATGCTGCCAATGAATCACATCCGTTAACAGGAACATTTTGTTAATAAAATATTAAAAAACATTCATCCTGTCTCCCGTTTTTTTAAATTAGATGAAAATATGATTTAATTCATTGTAGTTTTAGGGTCTTCTGCATACTCGTACCGTAAAGGTGACCCAGCTAGTCGTAAGAGGCGACTATGCTTGTCGTAAGAGGCGACTAACAGGATCGGGTGGTCAGGCTTGCAGACTTGGTTGATGCACGTCATCGTATCCTAATTGCGTGGATCGATGTTCATGATGTCAGTCACTGGTCCAGACTCGATTATTTACAGACTGCCGTCATATAGATTAAATATTGTCTATTGCGGCGAAAAACAACAAACCAACCATACTCATACCTCAGATGAAATACGTACCACGCGACAGGAGACGCTACGTGATATGCATTTAGCAATGTACATTCCCACATACACAATTCAGATAAAAAACATTGGCATACTGATAGGGCAGTATACAAAACTGTTGTCATGGGAGCATGTGGTTTCACATTGTACAATGACATTACTTCCCTGGCACATCTACACTGTTACAGAATCAGTAGAGCGTACAGACCTTTGCTGCCCTGACAAAAGTACTTTGTTACAGAATCAGTAGAGAGTACAGACCTTTGCTGCCCTGGCAAACGTACATTGTTACAGAATCAGTAGAGAGTACAGACCTTTGCTGCCCTGACAAACATACATTGTTACAAAATCAGTTGGGAATATATCACCTTAATTCCCTGACAAACGTACATTGTTACAGAATCAGTTGGGAATATATCCCCTTTATTCCCTGACAAACGTACATTGTTACAGAATCAGTCGTGAATATATCCCCTTAACTCCTGACAAACGTACATTGTTACGGAATCAGTTCGGAATATATCCCCTTAATTCTCGTACAAACGTACATTGTTACAGAATCAGTTGGGAATACATCCCCTTACTTCCCTGATATACGTACATTGTTACAGAATCAGTTGGGAAAACATCCACTTGCTTCCCTGATATACGTACATTGTTACAGAATCAGTTGAGAAAACATCCTCTTACTTCCCTGACACACGTACATTGTTACAGAAACATTTGGGAAAACATCCCCTTCCTTCCCTGACACACGTACATTGTTACAGAATCATTTGGGAAAACATCCCCTTCCTTCCCTGATATACGTACATTGTTACAGAATCAATCGGGAATATATCCCCTTACTTCCCTGATATACGTACATGGTTACAGAATCAATCGGGAATATATCCCCTTACTTCCCTGATATACGTACATGGTTACAGAATCAATCGGGAATATATC